CAGATTATTGAACTAATAACTTCGATCGTTTCTGACAACTCGGTTTAATTTGTCTTTGTCAGCAACTTGTTCGAAAATGTTCTATCTTTTTTTAACACATACAAAATACAAAATTGTCAAAATTTGACAAATTATTGAATCCTCTATGATTGAATCCGAAGACCATCAATCAAAAACTGAATGCTCATCATCGTAACTTAAAATTTCTTCTATTATTTATATTAGAGAAATGAGAAAACATTCTGTGATCATAAATATTAATTAATTAGACAAAACCGACACCAATAATAGTGTGTTTTCGAATTTGCGATGATGTGAGATGCAGTAAAAAGGTAAACACAAAGCTTATAATACAAACATTTTTAGTTACTGTATATTTATAAAATTGGAATAAAAAAATAAGTTTGTTTAAAGATATCTCAATTTTTGTATTGTTCAATTACCTCCTTGACCCCCTTAAAGGGGGTGTGCGCCAAAAAAACAACTTCATCTCGAAAAAAAGAGAAAAAAAATTTAAGAATAACAATGAACTCCGCACCCCTCTATGACAAATAATACCGCAGATATGGCTCTATGAAGGTACCGCATCTCATTCTATGACGTCACGAAAGCTCAAGCGATGCACGAGAAAGTGGAGTTAATTAAATTTACATATGTTTTTCCTGTGTTACCTGCAATAATCTAAACAAAAACCACTCACGCGTGCCGGGAACAATCAAATTAACAATGCGGAGCTCGGCTGGACGAAGTTTTCGTGACGTCACGAGAGCGTCCTCCACACTTTAAAGCGGTATATCTCAGCGATGGTTTATCGTAGAATAACGAGGTTTGAACAGTTATTCTTAGATTTTCTTACACTAGAACTTCAATTTTTGGCGCACACCCCCTTTAAGGAATCTCATTGCATCTAATTTGAATTTTTTAAAAATAAGTTCTGTTATCGTTCTAAACAGTTGCTCGGTAAATTTTAGCAAGTTTTTTCAACAAATGTTTTGCTTTGCAATTAACTGTTTTGAGCGTTTACAGTACTTTATTTTTAATAAATCTTAAATAAAATCAAAGTTAATAATTTAATTATTCAAAAAAGCCGCCTTTTCACTGTCGGTAAAGAAGAAACCTGCATTTAAATAATGTTCACTCTTTTATTGCTGTCCGTAGCCACCAGAGGCGCTAACGTCGACATTGTGCCAGTTAAGTACAGGGGAATGACTTCTCTCGTAGTTTACTACTATTATATTTCTCTATGGTTGGCAACAAATTTCTGCTGGAACGAAAATGTTTGACATTTCCTAATAAGGCAATTCAACGAGCTGTCAAAAAAAGTTCAATATGGAGGCCAATGCCAAGTGTCTGTACTCTGTGAGGTGTGCTTGTTTATACACTACGTTTTATTGCGATTTTTGATTTGTGTAAAGTCTGTAAAGAAGTAAAGTGTTGATTTTTTGAAAAATGCCTACGTTATGTATTGTACTTAGTTGTGGAAGCCGTTCTAATCGCGACAAAGTCTCGTTTTATGCCGTTCCTGCAGACACAAAACGCAGGTTTTAAACAGAAAAAAAAAAAAAAAAAAAAAACGATTTGTCGATACTTCGTAGAGCTTCATGGATTGAGAGAAAAAATCTGATGAAATTCATTTAAAAATCCCAAAAGTCTCTCCACATAAACGTTGTATGGATTCAAGCCATTTACTATTCTCAACTTGTGTTGATACCTCGAATAGCAGACAATAACCTTCAAGATTTGGTTGAGAAAAAACTAAACAGAAAATAAATTCTGGAGAGTACCTAATTATCTAGTAGGTAAAGGTTTGTTAAAAAGAAGTCATACCTTTTGTCAACATCCGGGCTTTCCACTAATAACTTCATAAAATAAAAACTTTCCATCTTAAAATTCGAAAATTATCCTCCCAAACACTAAAAAATCACCTTAAAATAGGTACCACAAAATACACAAAAAACAGTTTTTTGATGAAAAATGTCCTGGTTGTTTGAATTAAATTTATGGCGCTAATTTCATTGCTTGCCGCTTGGCATTGGCCGCCATTTTCATAGGATTGCCCTATTCTGTAATGAAAAAATCGATCAAAGGTGGGACCTTGATCAAAGGTGAAGGTCAAAGTTAGGTTAGGAATTAAAATGTTTGAAGAAAATCGACAAGCATTTTGAGCAGTTGCCAACACGTTATAAATGTTTCAAACATCTGCTGAAACAGCTGACATTTGCAAATTGTCACCAACATTTCTTTGCTGGAACGCAAATTTGTCATTGCGCATGTCACAAGCTGCTGCCAACATTTCTGATAGCCTGCTGGAACAAACCTATTGACAATTTTACATTGTATTGCCAACATAATGTCAGTTTGACTTTTATCTTTAAAAAAAAAAACGGATTTTATGTCCATTGATAATGTCGTTGATATCACCTACAAAAAGCTAATGGTGGTTAATTACTATTGAATTTTAAGATATGTTTCCACTAGCATTTTACAAACGCGTTTCTGAAGTAGTATTGACCAATCAGATGGGAATTTTAATACGTGCAATTTTTGCGAGACGCACTTTTGTCGCTTCTGCTGCCCCTTGTAATACATTTTGAACTTGAATTGGGTACCCGTTTTCTATTTGCTTCTTTTCGAGTTGGAAAAAGGTTAATAAAGTCAAAATTGTTAGCTGTGTTTGTTCGCTATATCATTTTTGAAAATAACTTTGACAAACTAATTGATGACAGTGACGGATTCTATTTCAGGTAAGAATTTTATGAACATTGGGTACATTCAGGCGGTCCCAGCGGCTAAGCTCAGCAACTTAGCAGGGACTCTATTCTCGAAACCAAGGAACAGCGTTCTCATAAGAACAATTGCTCTGTCATTGTCAGTGTTATGCCGGACGACAAAGACAGAACCTTCGTTCCAATGAGAACGCTGCTCCCTGTTTCGAGAATAAAGTTCCCGCTGAGTAGCTGAACTAAGCCGCTGGCGCCGCCTGAATGCACCCAATGATTAGACACCAATTTTTTTGTCAATTTTACTATCACCGCTGTTTGAAATGTATTCAACAAGGATAGAGAAAAATCACGTGACTTTAAAATGGTATTTGTTGGACTATAAGTAGATGGCAGCGGAACTCGCTGCGCTCGTCCCGTAGAGGTCCACCCATAAGTTCCGCAATAATCCACTTATTTGTACAGGGTGTTTTTTTAAATATTGACACCCCACCTACAGCCTTTACCTTTACAGGTAGTAGAAAGTTATAAATACACAAGTTGTAAAGTCTGTTTTTCTTTTAAAGATAATTCCCGAAGTCAAAAATTTAGTAACTCTGTTGGCAACACAAGCCTTTTCTACATAAAAAATTTGAAAGCATTGACAATTTTACATTGTATTGCCAACATAATGTCAGTTTGACTTTTATTTTTTTTAAAAAAAAACAGATTTTACAGTTTTGGCTGAATTTTTAGAAACCATGATCAGAAACAAAATCTGAATGTCAGAAATGTGAAATTTTGCATGCTTCCAGCTTTTTTCAGATGGGATGCCCTATATTTCATTCTATATTCTTGAAAGGCACAATACTCCGATCTATATTTGATTGAGCAATCTCTTATATATTCGGCTCCAAAAATTGTAAAAATACTTACTACTGATTTCGTGAACCATTCTACCTGTACAGGTGAAAGCTGCACGTAAAATTTGAGGCACTTGATTTCTCCATTAGTATTTTTAAAATTTTTAGGACCAAATATGTTAGAGACGGTCAACCAAATATAAACAAACTATATAGTTTTGGAATCATTGTACTTTTGAAGAATATAGAATCAAATATAGTGCATCCCATTTGAAAAAAGCTGAAAGCATGCAATATTTCACATTTCTGACGTTCAATTTTTGTTTCTGATTATGGATTCTAAAAATTTAGCTAATACTGTACAACTTTTGTATTTACACCTTTCATCTAGCTGTAAAGATAAAGGATGTAGGTGGGGTGTCAATATATGAAAAAACACCTTGTACTTAGCAACAAACAAGATATAAATTGGTGTACCTCAAGGTACAGTGCTCGAACCTTAGAGTAGGTAAAGCGCTGTCCTACGGACATTAGGAGTAGGAACGCGCCATTCTGCTTAAAAAACTAAAGTGCCAAGTTTTTGTCAGGTGTTTGGCATCAAAATACAGATAAAACATTGAATTGCCTATACCGCCATTTTTTTGGTGCCAAAATACCTGGAAAAAAAAACGGCTTCATTTTCCAACTCCATGTTACTACTACTCCTTTACCTTCACCTGCTCCAAGACTCGAACCTATTTTGTTTATTACCAACATCATAAACAGTCTACTGTCATTAAATATTAATGGTAAATTGATTTCATATGCGGATGATACAGTTTTGGTGTTCAATGGAAGTTCTTGGAATGAAATTAGAGGAAAAATGACAGTGAGTCATGCCTATAGATTCTTCAGGCTATGATTACTTTGAATTTGCCAATCAAAAAATTAGGGAGGTTCCTCAGACAAAACATATTAGCATTGCGATCAATCAATTCTCGAAATGGCAACCTCATGTAGAATATCTTTCAACTAGAATAAGAGGACTAATACATAAATTTTATATATTCTGAACAAAAAAATATTGATTTCAGTCTATAGGACCCTTGTCGAATCGCTGGTCAGATATGAAATATAGGTTTGGGGAGGAGCCTATCGATCTGCATTGACAAGATTGATGATCATTCAAAAATATATTTTGAAAATCACATACAAGGACAGACTATACCCCACAAGCCTTTTATTTTCCAATAAATCATAATAATGCAAACCTAAAAAGCTTGGCCTATCTGGGCTCAAAAACATACAACAGGATTCCTGTAGCAATGAGAAACTTAAATGTAAACAAGTTTTGAATCCACTAATATTTCGGAAATTCTTAAATGCAGTCCTAATGAATTAATTACAGTCAGGAAGCATTACAATAAGGTTTCTGAACCTGCAGATGTATAATTCTTACCTCAACTCTGAAACGCGTTCGGCGAAAATTTGCCGGTGCGACATCAATCGTTGGGAGAACGATTCCGGTTCGGGAACGGGCCCGGCGTTGACTTGGATCGAGGGCACGTTGCGAGGCGCCAAATTAACGTGGTGGGTACGGTACAACGGGCTGGATTGTCTACCGTTGTTATTCCTGTTTCTGTAGTAGAACCAACCGGGTGCCGATGCGTCTTCCGCTTCTTCATCACTAGAAAATCAACAATTAACTTGTCAAAGATTTTATTTGAATTTAATACAACCGCTTTCTTGAAATATTTGATTTAAATTTACCAAAAAATAATTGAACACTTACGTATTATCATTATAAGTCGGAGCAGCACTTTCTCTACTAGTAGTCTGAGCGCCTTCTACAGTAGAAGCAGCAGCTTCATTAGAACTACTCATTTCTTGATAACTGGAAGAATACCTTGCCAACAGTTCGTTCATGGTATTCAGAACAGATTCACTCTGATCCTGTTCAGAAGCGTTCGACGTTTGCGGCGGCGTTGCCTGATTTTGTCCCCCAACATCTGGTTGACTATCAGACTGAGTCCTGTTTATGTGTCTCAAACATCTAAAACAAGTTGGCAATTAAGTATTTTTTACTTTCTGGTATCAATCCAATCAATTGGTCTAATTAACATATTTAATTTACACATTAACCAACCTGTTTATTGTCCCTAAAAGTTGCCTCCTGTCCGTATCCGGTCTCGGCAACATCGCATTCCTGCGCGTAACGTACGTCTGATCTAAAGCCCGGTTCGCGTGACGCATCGTCAAGCGCATCAGCCGCAAGCTGCGCGTCAGCTGCGCCGACCGAACAGGCATCTAAAATAATAATTATTTAATCATACAATATCAGTTGACAGTTTCTTACTCTGGTCTGTAACATTGCAGTGCAAACTTCGTCAATTCGTCGGGCTAAAGCTTCGCGTTCCGGGTCTAAACCGTGACGTGATGGGGGCGGAACAGAGTCGACAACTTGGAGCAGCAACAGTTCAGTTAGCAAAAGGGCCATGGCTAAAACGCCATTGATTTGCATGCGCATGCTGTTTGAAATTCCATTGTTGCCAAGTTCTTCGATGTAACGACTCATACCGTCTAATATCAGGCTTAATGTATGACGAGCACCATATCTATATTGAATAAATTAATATTTTCTTTCAGTAAATGACTATATTCTTACCTAGCAGCGCCATCTTGGGTAGCAGCATTTTCCCGCCCAGGCGCATTAGCATTCCTCAACAAACTCGACTCAATACTATTCCCTAATACTCTCGTCATGCGCAAAACGCACCCGTGCAACCTCAAAGACATAATGTGTTCAGCCAAGTCTACAGCATTGCGTGCAGTAGGCAGTGGCGGCGCGTCAGGCGCCCTAGTAAATATCCTCATTTGTTCAGTCAGTAATCGTTCCAGCCTCGTAGTCATCGAAGTCAGTGTTGTCGAAGTGATTTGCGAATAGTTGAACAAATGGGGATTGCTGTGGCCGCTGCGGAAACTGGGCGGCGCCGCCCCTGATCTGGTTTGTTGCATTTGCATGATGCACCTTTCAAAACGAGTCAGACATCGGACCAGATGCGCGCGTCTGGGGGTTTGGGGTTGACTTTGATGTTGTTGTCTGAGGAAGCCGACGAACCTCGAAGGCGGGTAAGTTTTCCGGTTCGAGCTTCTTCGGGGCTGAGTTGGACCACCGGTACTGGTTCCGGGCAGGTCTATATTCGAAGTTGTACTCGAACTTGTACCTAAATTGTTATTGGTTGGATTAGAAGTATCTAGTTTAATACATCTAGCTATAAAATTCGATGAACTTAGAGTCAAATACAATTTTTGTTATGGCTTTAGATCAGCACCCAAAGCATTATACACAACGCGTTGAAAAGTTGCTAGTGCTTTGGTTAGGCCAAAAGGCATTCTACGAAATTAAAAGAGTCTCCTTTCACATGTGACTCTTCGCTAAGCGGACTTGCCAGAAGGCAGATTTTATATTGATACTATTTGAGAAACGAGTCTTACGTAAACTATCAAGAATTTACTGTGAGACATAGGGAATGGAATAACTTGTCCTTTTTGGTAACTTTAGTGGAAGAGCTGTTAAAAAAGCTACTGCCTCCTAAGAAATAAATTAAAGAAGAGCTTCTAGACTCAGGCAGGGTACTCTTTTTTGAAAAGTCAAACTAGAAGTTTCTATATTGTTTAAAGAAATGAGACTTAACCAAAGCTGAGAGTAACTTACGTGATTGGGTCCGTCTTCTAGCGCCGCCGTCCTCTTGAGCCTGACGCGGACCAGAATCGCTAATCCGAGTGCCGGCCATCATTTGACGTACGCTGGACATGCCGGCCGCCGGCTGGACGTCGCCGGACAAAGTCCGGAAATGACGCACCATTTCCATGACCAACTGACGCATGACTTGCAACTGCGTCACTTCCAACATCGCCCTGTCCACTCGTTCAATACTTTGCACCTACACAAATATTTTCCAAATGTACTACATACATTGAAAAGTATTATTATTTACCTGTCGTCTTAATAGTCTAGCCTGTTTTTGAATGTGCGTAATGGTCAAATGTAGGGAATTCAAAGCAGGATGTAGTTCATTCAAAGAGTTCCAAGGATCACGCGGATAAGTGTGATCACTTGCCACTGGGCGTAAGTTTTCCGGTATCTAAACCAAAACTTTACAACTTAAAAACCAAAACCTAAAAATATTTCTTACGTTTCTTACATTATCCGCAAACTCCAAAGGAATACCGGACCAGGGTTCGTGATAGCCACTAGGCAACCTATCCATAGTAGTCCTCAGTTGCCTCAATATAGTATTCGATTGCGTCATAATGTTATCCAACCGATCCGAAAAACTACTCAAAATACCAGCAGTTTCACCAGATCTACTACCTGCTCGTCTAATGTTCATCACATCGTTTAGAGACGATTCCAAATCCTGGACGATGTTTGAATATATGGAACCGATAGTAGATGAACCACTGTCCGGATTGGGATTTGAAGGCGAAACAGGTTCCAGAGGTGGTAGAAGTGGTTCTAAAGGTGGCAAAATGTCACTTTCAGTAGATGGAGGAGAAAATTCCCTTTCTCTTGTGGCATTTTGGATTGCCCTTGAAATACATTCCCTTTCTCTTGCAACTAATTCCCTTGCTCTTTCGATAGTTTCCCTTGCCCTTGCGTCAGGGTCAATTTGATTAGTTTCCCGTGACCTTGCCGCCAATTCCCGCTCTAAAGTTTCTCGTACTCTTGCGGCTAATTCCCTTTCCATCGTTTGCCTTATCCTAGCGGCAGTTGCCCTTGCCGTTTCCCTATCCCTTTCGGCCGTTTCCCTTGCTCTTGCGAGTCTTGCGGCAGTTTCCATTGCTCTCGCCCTTGCGGCGGATTCTCTTTCCCTTGCGGCGTAATCGATTATTTCGTCTAGGAATAGGGACGGCGTTCCTGGGGTTCTAGGAGTACCTAGAGGGCAGAATTCTTACATTACATTACCATTACAAACATTTTAAAAATATTCTCAGAAGTTAAAATTGAAGAAATATTCATGAGAAAGAGCAAGAAACTGAGAATTTGGAAGTTCAATGAAAAATTATTCCCGGCTCTTGAATTTAAATCCAAATTAGGCAGGATAATTGTGTCTTTTTCTAATCAATTAAATTGGAAAAAGACAGATAGACTTACAGCAAAATGTTTTATTAAGTAGGCCATGGATTCACCAAGACAACTATCAAAAGTCAGGCATTTTCCGATCATCTTAAGCGCAACTAGGCTCCAAATTTGAGGGGTGATGCAGCATCATTTTTTTTTTTTTTTAATTTTATTTAAAAATGAGACGCGTAAAAGATTAGTTTCACGTGGGTTTGTCCTTACGTCATCATTTGCGTTTTTTTTTTTTAAATAGGTTTTTTTTATGTCAGAAATTTCGAACAAACATATAGTTCGTTGCACAGCACGCAGGTTTTACTTACGTCATCGATGACGTCATAACTTAGAGAAAAAGTTATGTCATAGATTAATTCATGGAGCATGTTCGGAATTATTGATTTGTAATACATTTTTTAACTTAGAAGAGAATTTATTCAGTTATCCAAAAATATATAAACAAAATTTCTCCTAAAGTGATTTTTTACTGGAAAATTTTGAAATTTTTATATAATGAGCTTCTCACTTTCCTTTTTCTCCTGTAAAATTTTCAAAATTTTCCTCAATTTTGCTTAAATAAGTCAATTTTTTTGAAATTTTTCCTGAGTGATTTTTCAATGAAAAATTTTGAAATTTTGCTTTAATGAGATCCTCACTTTCCTCTTTTTTTCTGGAAAATTTTCACAATTATCCTTTTGCCAGTTTTCTAAAATAAAAATAAAATATAAGAAAATGAATTATGCTTAAAAAAGTTAATTTTCCCTTAGTTTTTGCATTTTCGAAAAATTCGTGATTTTCGTAATTCCTATAATTTTTGTAATTTTCGTAATTCTCTTTATTTTTATAATTCCTGCAATTTTCCGTAATTTCCGTAACTTCTCAAAAATTGCGAAAAAGTGAGTGTCAAAATCGCAGGAAAGTGACGTTGGAATTACGAAAAATATAAGTAAAAATTACAGAAAAATGAGGTTGGAAATGTTGGAATTGCGAAAAAGTTTAGTAAAAATGGCGGAAAAGCAGAGTTATAATCATTATAATCGAGAAAAATGAGGTTATGAATACGAAAAACAAAAGTAAAGATTATGGAAAAATTAGGTTGAAATCGCGGAAAAGTGAGGTTATACTTATTGAAAAATGAGGCAAGAATAATGGAAAAGTGAGGCAAAATTCGCGGAAAAATTTGTTGAAATTGCGAGAAAGTGAGTTTGAACTTCGAAATTGCGGAAAAGTGAACGTAAATTTGCGAAAAAAAAATTGTTAAAAGCCGTTATTTTTTAAATAAATTTCGTTATTTTTATAATTTTTCCTTAGTTTTTGCAATTTTCGCAAAACTCGTAATTTTCGTAATTCCCATAACTTTTTCGTAATTTCCTTAATTTTTCGTAACTTTCCAAAATTCATCATAATTTTTCTATAATTCCCGTAATTTTTGAATAATTCCTTGTGTTTCTCAGATTTTCGTAATTTTTTAATTTCCGTAATTTCTCAAAATATTCAGTTACTTATTTCATAATTTCCCCTAAGTTTTTGTTATTTTCAATAATTCGTAATTCTCGTAATTTTCAATTTTTTTTTTGTGAATTTTCATTATTTTCGTAATTTCTCAGATAATTCTCCGTATTTCTATAATTCTTCCTTAGTCATTGCAATTTTTGGAAAACTCGTAATTTTCCTAATTCCTGTAACTTTTTCATAAATCCCATAACTTTCCAAAAATTATCGTAATTTTTACGCAATTCCCGTAATTTTTTCATATTTCTTTCAATTTTTATATTTCCTGTAGTTCCTCAAATTTTCGTAATTTTGTAATTCCCATAATTTCTCAAAAAACTCAGTTATCTTTATAATTCCCCCCAAGTTTGTTGTGATTCTCAAAAATTGGTAATTCCCGTAATTTTTTTTTTCTTGGAATTTTCGAAAATTTTCAAATTCCCGTTATTTCTCAAAAAATTCACGTTAATTTCTAATTCCCCCTTAGTTTTTGCAATTTTCGGAAAATTCGTGAATCCCGTAACTTTTTGTAATTCTTGTTATTTTCGTAATTTTTTGAAAATTGTCTCAATTTTTTTAATTCCCGTGATTTTTTCGTATTTTTCATAATTTTTGAATAATTCCTGTAGTTTTCAGATTTCCGTTGTTTTTTAATTTCTGTAATTTCTCAGAAAACTCCGTTATTTTCATAGTTCCGAAATTATGTAATTCTCGTAATTTTCATATTTTATTTTGGGAATTTTCGAAATTTTGTAATTCCCGTCATTTCTCAGATAATTCTCGTTATTTTCATAATACATTCATTTTACAATAGACCTATCTCCCATGATTAGAAAAAGAGACCTTCATTGTAATAAATACAAGTTAGAAAACAATAAAAGATGACATGCGCGCGCAACTCGTAGGCTGCAGTGTAGCCAGATTGTATTGTTGCAGAACAAATGTAGACAATACAAATCGAACATTATAACATCAAAGAAGTAATATAGTCTCAAGTGTTTCATAACGCCTTAAATCAGATAAAAGAAGAGCTTTAAAGTGGATAAACATAGTTTGCACTTTTATTTTGATAAATGTTTCATCCGGCAACATGGCTCAATGAAATTGCAAAGGAATATGTCAAGTATAATCTTAAACGAAACTGCGGTGAGTTCAAGTAATATGTAAGGTATTAGTTTGCTCTTTGTCAAATTACAGGTTACAAAGAAAGAAGGAAGGATTCATTCTGAACTGGCCCCTGAATAAGAATATGACGCAAGCCTGTCATAAACTTGCTTCTCATTGGACGCTCACCTGCAGCCTACAAGCGACGCGCGCAGTCCAGGTAATAGGAGATCGGTCTATTTTCGAAAAACTCGAAATTTTCGTAATTCCCATTAGTTTCGTAATTTTTTAATTTCCGTAATTTCTCATAAAAACTCCGTTAGTTTTATAATTCCCCCTAAGTTTTTGAAATTTTCGAAAGTTGGTAATTTCCGTATTTTTTTTTTGGGAATTTTCCAAATTTTTTAATTCCTGTCATTTCTCAGATAATTCTTGTTATTTTCTAATTCCCCCTTATTTTTTTCAATTTTTGGAAAACTTGGTAATTTTCGTTATTCCCGCAATTTTTCCCGCTTTTCCCATCGTGATGTATTCGTAATTCCAGTAATTATTTGTATTTTCAATTTTTCAATTTTCAACTTTCCTAATATCCAAAAAAAATTCGGAATTTTCTAATTCTTCCTAAGTTATTGTAATTTTCGTAATTTCAAAAACTTGTGATTTCGGTTATTTTGGGAATTACCGTAATTCACGTAATTTTGGAATAACTTTGTAATTCTTTCCCGTAATTCTGTAATTTTCGTAGTTTTTCGTATTTTCCTTAATTCCTGTCATTTTTATAATTTCTCATAATTCCCGTAAATTTTCGGGAATAATACGACGAGAGCTACAAAATTACCGATAATTTTTCACGAATTGAAGAACTTAACAATCAATACAAATAAATGGTTCCTAACAGCAACCGTTTGTTTGTATCAAAAATTCGCATGACAACCATGAATACAATAACATGGGAGAATTATCGCTGTAATTTTGAAAATTGTCACTTGCCTTATGGGATCTCTAACACATGAGTGGAATAATTGTCATTCTACTAAGTTCCGTAATTTTTATAATTCCCATTATTTTTCGTAATTCCCGTAATTTGTCTTGTTAGTTTTCGTGACTTTTCAAAAATTAGTAATATTTAAATAATTGACGTAATTTTGGAGTAACTTCGTAATTCTTTTGTGTAATATTTGGTAATTCCAATAACTTTTGTAATTCCCACAATTTTTTGTTATTCCATAATTCTCGTAAATGTTTGCGATTCTCATAATTTTCCATATTTTACCTACTTTAACGTAATTCCCGTAATTTTTCGTAACTTTTCAAAAATTATCGTAATTCTCGTAATTTTGAAATGAGGAAAAATGAGGATAAAATCGCGGAAAGTGATGATAAAATCACAAAAAAAAGAGTCAAAAATCGCAAAAAAAACATGAGTCAAAAATTTCAAAAAAAGTGAATTTAAATTCGCGGAAAAGTAAGATGAAACTCGCGGAAAAATGAGGATAAAGTCACGAAAAGTGAGGATAAAATCGCGGAGAATCAAATAAGAAACGCGGAAAAATTGAGATAATATTTATAGAAAAGTGGGTTTACAATCGCGAAAAAGTGGATCTAGAATCGCGGTAAGTGAAGGAAAAATCGCAAAAAAATGAGTCAAAAATTGCAAAAAAAAATTATTCAAAAATCGCAAAAAAAGTGAGGTCAAATTCGCAGAAAAGTGAAGATAAAATCGCGGAAAGTAGGGAAAAAATCGCGAGATAAAGAGGTAAGAATCGCGGAGAAATGAGGATGAAATAGCGGAAAAATAAGTTTGTAATCGCGGAGGAGTGAGGGTAAAATTGCAAAAAAGTGAGGCTAAAATCGCAAAAAAAGTAAGGACAAAATCATAAAAAAAGAGAGTCAAAAATCGAAAAAAAGAAGAGCCAAAAATCGCAAAAAAGTTGAAGACAAAATTGCAAAAAAGTGGATCAAAAATCGCAAAAAAAAATGAATCAAAAATTTCAAAAAGTAGTGTAAATTAGTGTAAATTCGTGAAAAAGTGAGATAAGAATCGCGGAAAAATGAGGTAATATTTGCGGAAAAGTGGGTTTACAATCGCGGAAAAGTGAATTTAGAATAGGGAAATTGCACATTTTCTTTTTTTACTTCAAAAATGTGTTCTACTACACTAAAGACATAGTCATGCCAAATATCAAGCATTAAAAATCGGACGTTAATTTTTTATAAATATTTGAAGTTACGCTCGAAACATCGTCATTTGAAACGACCAATTAGTGTGACGTCACTCGGCAACAAAATTCCGATGACAGTGACGAGCACTTTGAACTTTGAGCAGCTAGATTAGGATTATGGTTATGTTGTTATGTATGCAGTTTTTGATAGATTTGACATTGGCGTCACCAGCAGCACATGACTTGGCAGCGGCGCGACCCGATTATTACTGCCTTCTGACGTCACGGCCCATAGAAACACGTTTTTGATCGCGTCATGAATTTCGAATTATTTGGTGAATTTCATTTGAAGATTTTGGACACCAGAGATAAGATATCATATTTTTTTCCTAATTGCATCATTTATTAGGGTGATTGTTATTGTGTTTTATTAGTTATTCCATATTTAATTCAATGTGCAAGTTCCCTATTGCATTATTTCAATCAATCCCGCGCCTCCACGACAAATATCTGTGAATCTGGGATACTCAGTAATACCGGCCCGAAGGGCCGGAGTTATATGCGAGCCCGAAGGGCCGGAGTTATACGCGAGCCCGAAGGGCTAGAGTTATTTTAATCACGGGGCCTAGTTTATAATTCTATTGGTCAGCGGATAATTTAGAGCTAATTAAAAACTGGGAGTATTTAAAATGCGATTTTTAGTGTCCGATCAAAGAGTCGGGAATATTCAAAAACTTTAGTTTTATCAAATTGGCTTTGGAATGTTGGTTTTCTTAAGATTTTTACTTTTTTCAGAAAACGGTGGTTTTTGCAAACATATACTACTTTATCATTATCTTTGTCTCACTATAATCAATAAGGAAATCTTGTAATGAAATTTTCTTTAAAATTAAACTAAAAACAAGTTTCCTATGATTTATTTGGGGAATTTTAATTATTATAATCATTATTAATTAATTATTAAATTGAATTTTAAACAAAAAACCCTTTTAAAATGTTATTTTTGTTTTCCGAAATGGGATTTGGCAACGTTGCTTTTAGTTGGCCATTTTGAAGTGACGCCTTGTAATTTTTTGCCAGTTTTTCCTCGAATTTTTCACTTTTCCGGGGCTTTTCAATGGAAAAAGGCAATTTAACATACGAGGCTTTGAGTTTTCTTCATTTTCTAGCAAAAATGTCCAGTTTTAAAATGACATAAATAACAAAATCCCATTTAAAATGGTTTTTTTGGAAGTTTTGATGTGGCAACACCGTTTGTACCAACTTCAAATAAGATGTGATTTGTCAGTTGACAGTCAGCAATTTTTAATTGACGTGTTTACATTTCTATCCAGTTTTTCCTCGAATTTTCCGCTTTTCCAAGCCGTTTTCAGTCAAGAAAACCGATTTAAAATACGAGGCTTTGAATTTCCTACATTTTGTACTAAAAATTCCCAGTTTTCCAATGGGGTAAGTGACAAAAACTCAAATTTCATTAAGTAGGCTTTGGAATGTCATTTTTAGAGGTTTTTTTTTTGAATTTGTCCGCTTTTCCAGGGTTTTTCTGGTCGGAAAAACCGATTTAAAGTACGAGGCTTCTTCATTTTCCACCAAAAATTTCCAACGTTTTAATGGGGTAAGTGAGAAAAACTTTAGTTTTATCAAGTAGGTTTTGGAATGTCATTTTTATTGTTTTTTTTTTTAGAATTTTCATTTAAGGTTTTTGGGGTCCGGGGATCGTTTTCTATCACTTTTTTTCTCGAAATTTGCAAAAAAAAAACTTTTTTGACGTTGACAGCTGTCAATTTTTTTTGACACAAATCGATAGTTAGCGTCGCGAAACTGCCTTGTACCGGGGTTTGATTTTCGTAGCTTTTATAGTAGAGCGGAGAAAAAGTCGAACATGTGTCAAATTCGACAGATGACATTTGTCGATATTGCCAAAGTGTCGTGCGACAAAAGTTTTATCCGAACGAACCCGTTCTTTGTTAACTGATTTTTCATACTCCAGCGAAACAAAAAGACGTCATTTTGTATCGATTGTCAAAAAAACTCAAGGTTTGAAATTTCAATTTTTTGACGTTTGTTGTATCATGAGCAACGTTGCCATATGTTTTTATCAAATCTCGATTTATAGGTTATTTTAAACCCAATCATTGACATTTCTGAAAAATATTTCCTTTAAAATTCCCAAATATCCTTTGGAATCCCCAAAAATCTATTTAAATCTCAGAATTCCATAATTTAGTGGAATTTCGGTAGAATTATTATGTTATTCTGAAAAAGGAATTAGATGTGAAATTTTTGCGGAGTTTCCATAGAATTCACATTAAATTTTAATTCCTCTCGAATTACTTGAAATTTCAGTGAAATTGCGATCGAATTACACGAAATCCTAAATGAATTACATGGAGGAATTTTAAATGAAATTACACCGAAATTCCTAACATGAAATTTCAGTTTTTACTGAATTTTAGTAATGCCGAGGAATTTCCAGCTAAAAACATGGAATTTCGGTGATATTTCGAAAAATTCCCACGTAATAACATGAAATTTTAATATATTTTGATGAATTTTTAAAAAATTACTTGAAACTTCAATAATATTCCCAGAAATTCCTGACTATTAAAAAAGATTTTCAGTGAAATTCCGAAAAATTCTTATGAAAATAAATTAAATTTTGAAAATTCCTTGAAGTTTCATTGGACTTTCGAGAAATTTTCGGTTATGAACGTGGATATTCTCATAAAATTTTAGTGAATTCCGAGAAACTTTCAAGAAATTACATGAAATTCCAAAGAATTTTATGAAAATTTTGTGGAATTCCAGGATATTTCAGTGGTAAAATTTTGAGAAATTTTAGTAAAGTAAAAAAAAAAAATATGGAATTTTGAAATTGAAATCTCAATGGAATTCCAAGGAATTTCATGAAATCCTATACTGTAATTAGCCTCCTCACTTGAAATAGTCACGAGCCGCCACTGGTGACACGACCTTGAAAAATCACTCTCATGCGGCCAAAGAAGTGTTGACTTCAATAAATAATTTGGTTGCACTGATTTTTTATATTAGTTTTAGGTAGTGCCACTGTAGGCAGTGCTATGGTGGGATGCCGAATGGGAGTGCTAATTTTTGCTTTAGGGGTGCTTAGCACCCCCCTAGTTGCGCCTATGCCCATCATTAACCAAGGCATACCATTTTAACCACAAAAGGCAAAAAAAAACAAATAATAGATTTCAAACAATATAGTCTTTTACCTGATCTTCCACTTCCGTAATGAGGAAGCCTACGCATGGATCTGGATCTTGAATAATTCACCCTGGTAGGCATAAAAGCCGAAGCTCTATGGAAAAAAGCCCGTCTCATTGGAGAAGCATCGGGCGGACCTTGTTCGACCCAAGTTTCAAGCATCGGCGGAGCATTTTCCTCCAGTGAACTAGGAATTTGCTGCATAATGTCAAACGCTGCAGCTTGATCCATTATCATATTGGTAGCTGCAAGCCTGAGGATTTCTCAATTAATAACTCATTTAGAAGCAATATTGCCTTTACCTTCTCGAATAGATTTCGTTTTCTGCTTCTCTCAACCAAGACACGCCCCTGTTTGGCCTTGTGCGCGCACTGGTACTTTGCGCAGGAGGCACCGGATAAGGATCATTTACTCCACTTTCATCGTTACTATCAATATTGTTGAGCAATGACGTCACCAGCTGTTCTAGTTCTTCATGGTAGTCACGCTCGAAACGTATAGGCTCTAGTGGTGGCGGTGAAGGTAAAGAGTCTGGTGATGTAGGTTCGTATAGGTGTGGTGGAGGTTCGAACGGTGGCATTGTAGGTGAGTATTGCGGCGATGAAGGATCGTATGGAGGTGATCTAGGAGGAGGGGTTGTTGGTTCGGAAGGCTCAGCGTCTGAACTGCTGCTGTTGTTGTTATCTGTAGAACCGTCAACTCTTGGGGTAGATGATCTGCGAGTGCCTCGACGTAATACTCTAGGGTACATTTGGCTGAAACGTCTTCTGACATTTTCGCGACTGTTTTCGAAAAGTCTAAACAACAAATATTAGATTGGACCAAGGAATTTTTTGTATTATTTACCGTAGTATCTCTGCCCTATCTGGCTGAGGCACTGATTGTATAATGGGCAAAATCCTGCTTCGCACTTCTTCTTCTGCTGTTTGCCGGATACGGTCTACTAGTTGCACGAAATTTCTTTGATGATCTAAAAATTACAGTCTTAGACACAAGATTCAATACACCCCAATAAAAAATAACCTTCTTCTAAATTCGAACCAGTTTCGGGCTCTCGTTCTCTAGCCTGTGAAGATACAGTTGGTGCAGGGGTATTTTGTGGAGTGTTGTAAGGTACTCTTTGGTGAGCTACTCTTTGTGGAGGTATCATAGTCTTTCGGGCACGTAAATTTTTACGACGGAATTCCTGAATCCGTTCTTTATTAGCCGAAATGTACCTATTGAATCTTTCATTGTAACCGCTACTGCCAGGTCTACCTGGAGGAACTACGTTGTCGAATTGAGAACCTGGAAGTTCTATAATTTATGGATTAGAAACAAAAACTAGAATGGGAGGTGGACAACTGAGTGGAGTCATTTTTTAAAAAACAACTTTCCATGTACCTTATGTTGTGAAATACTCCAATTCTGTTCTCAAAGCACTACCAGCTACCAGCACTGTGTTAAACATTCTAACTAATAAAAATTTATCCAATGTGTTTACGCAATAGTATTTGAAATTTAGAAAACTGGACTACGACGATAATCGTGCAAACAAATTGAAATGGGATTGAAAATTGATACCATAGGGTTGTCGAAACACACAAAATTTATTACCACTCACCTGGATTTTCTTCTAAGCTGTGTGTATACACGGGGAAAACAGTTCTCCACAACCACCAACGTATCACCATCGACTTAAGGCACTCAAGCTCCCTTTTTAACGGCACAAGACATAGAGTTTTTGAGCGTAAAACACGGAACTGGTAGAAAATGCAACGTGCATATCAAGTACCATTTAACTAGTGTGTAAATCCATATCTTCAACCGCTATCGGCCTCGGTCCGTGCAGGATCGTAGAAAATACACTCTTGTGTGTTTTACGTGAAATTGACATTTAAGTAATTCTTCAATAATAATGAGAAGAAACCAAATTTGTAAATAATGTTGCGTTAACACAATGAATGAAGTGAATAGTTATTCCTAACCAAAATATCAAGAGGACTATCTGCTTTGAGAACTCTTGGTGGAGTAGCTCAGGTAGCTGGTAAAGCAAAATTCGAGATCGAATTTCTCAGGGAAAATTCCCAGAAAAATTACATAAAGCTCACACATTTATGATTAATTTCATGACTCCACCCAACGGTGTATAAGTTTTGGTACTAACCTGATGCAATTGTTGACAATCCTTGTATGGCATCTGCAATACTACCACTATTGGAATCCCCTTGTGAACTTCCAGAAGTAGCTTGTTGCGAACCACTAGCATTTTCTTGTTGTGACTCCAACGGTAACCTTTCCAAAACAACTACCAATTTTTTCCTATCATCTAAACTTGAATCATCATCATCATCATCGTCATCGCTAGAATCATCGTCTCGCCTCATTCGTTTTTCATTTTTCAAATTTGCCTCTTTACTGTTCGCCTTATGTTTCCTGGACTCTTTAGTCTGAGTACCTCTAATGGAACTAGGAGGCTTTCGGCCAACCAAAAACATCCTACTAGGCGTTATGAGGTTCTGAGAAGAGTGTGACGTTGATGGACGTTGTAGCCCACTAGGACCTGCAACAGCATCGTCATTGCTCCTATTGGCCGTTTGAGTACCATTATTCAAGTGACTTGGTTCCATAGGATCGGTACCTCGATCAATCATCGTTGGTGGCCTGTATAATTGCAAATATCTTTGCACCAACCGCTCGTATTCTCTTACTAAATTCCTATAACATCTAGTAATTCTGCGTTCTCGTTCTGGCACAACGCTATTGCCATCAGTAGGAGGTTCTTCTGGTTCTGGTTCTGGTTCAGGTTCAGGTGGAGTTCTAGAAGCAGTAGAAGAAACTAATCTCTGAGTGATTCTGCGCCTGTAAGAACTGGCGCAACTTTCCTGTCTCGGCACTGGTACTGGTGCTCTGACCCGTTCCCAACGAGTCATTGGACTATTAGCAATCCCAGTGATTAACTTGTGGCCAAGTTTATCAAAAGCAACATAACGAACATTTTCTTTTGCATGACTTGTAGCAGCATGCGCAAAAGGTTCCGGTTGGTTCCAGTCCCAAAAAAACACTTGATTGCAAGTTGCAATTACTAAAACTCGGTCATTGGGGTGGAATGCAAGTGACGCAATCACCGATTGTATTGGAGTTGTCCAAACTTCGCTGCCTCCGCTGAGATCCCAAATTCTCACTTGGCCTCCGAGACAACCCGAAGCCACAATTTGATTGCTCGTAGGATGGAAAGCGATGCACCAAGGCGTTCTCGGATGTCCGACCAAAGTTTTTATGTTTTTGCCGCTCCTCAAATCGGTTACAGAAATGTTGTGATTGCCGTGAGTTGAAGCGGCTATGGTACAATCAGGACTGAAAACCATCAAGAAAGTTGAGCGAGGCATTCCGGGCATTTCGCACCGGGTCTCTTTCATTTCGGTTTTTCGCACCAGCTGTTCTTCGGCAAAAAGGCCGATGTTTTCTCGGTTGCTGCCGCGGCCCCGTTCGCGGTCCTGCAGGCCTGTTAGTAAATCCAGGGCGCCGTTGGTTTTTGGGGCCCTGGCCAGATGACGGTAGATGTCGTAGTTGTCTTTGTTCATCATTTTTGTTTAGCAAGGGTTAATGTAGCATTTTTATGATGGTCGAAGGGTGGCTTGCTGAAACAACAGAATAATCTATGACGACACTGGAAAAAGATTCAAATAAGGGTGTTGTTGCCAAACTAGCAACTGTGCTTATAAGTAGAGAAATTCTTATTCCAATAACAATTAATGAAATCATCACTTGGAAATGATGTCGCGTGTGTAAAATGATCCAACAGTTACCAAGAAGTCTCTCTAAAAATGAATAAACTTTAATTTTGTAGAGATGCTTTACTTCTGAAATAATCGAGTTTGAAACTTTTTTTAAAATTTCAAACAAAATTTCAACTTTGCAACCCTGTATCCCAAGAACTGGCTCCAGATATATGAGTCATATCCCTGTTCTACCCTGTAGATCATTCAATTTTGATCAAGAATCATCAGTAAAATATTCAACTTTATGAAATAACTTGCCCCTCTTTTAAACAACCTTGATCCAAGCCACAATTAGCAGGATTCAATATGTCGGTAATAGTCAAGCATTTTGTAATGTTTGTTTATTTAACCCAAGAATCAAATAGTGAATTCTTTTGGAAAGGTTAGTGCGCACTAAGTGTATTCGTATTTTTTTCTACGAGCTTGTAAGAGAGATAAAAATGCCTTTTTTCTACACTGGCTCTACCCATAGAATTCACAGTTTTATATATTTACGTTTGGTAGTTATAGGAAAAATGGATCAATATACGCTCTGCTACACTTTTTTGACGCACCCTGTATGCTTAAAAATGACTTAGGGCGGGTATTATAAAACTACTTTGAGAGTTAACTTAAAGTTAACTTCTGGAATTACATGTAATTCAAAAAGTTAACTTCAAGTTAACTGTCAAAGCAGTTTTATAATACCCACCCTTAGGGTGTGTGTGTATTATAAAACTGCTTTGACAGTTAACTTGAAGTTAACTTTTTGGAATACATGTATTTTCAGAAGTTAATTTTAAGTTAACTCTCAAAGTATTTTTATAATACCCGCCCTTAGTTAAAAACTTCTGACAATTTCTTAACTTTTGTATTTGACAATTTTATCAAAAACGTCAAATGAAAAAGTTAGGAGGGGAGGGTGTGACAATTATAATAGATCACCCTGTACATGAAGATGTGTTGGATCCAACTTTATTTTATTTTATTTATTTGAGCATGTGCACTGCAAGTAGTGGGGGCCAAGTTGAGTGTCTGCTGTCAGCTTTCAATTGTCAGTTCATCTCCGTTCTTTTTTCTGGCAGGATGTAACTGACCTGACCTAAGCTTCTTTAACAATTTGAACAACTTACCTAGAACCTATTTTTTTTATATTTTATAGTAAGACTTTTGAAGTCCATGATGGGTTTATACCATATACATTACCTCAGTACTGAAACGATAAAATATCAATTTTTTTTGTGAAGATATTGTGTCTCAATGGTCCTTGGGGATCCCACAAATTCCATTCCTTCTACACGTGTATCAATGCTATAACCCGGAATAAATGTATACAGGATTCAATTTACTTGCCATGCCACGATACAAAATTTCGATTTTTTGGTATTTCATATCTGTCTATTGTATCTTGTATTTGTCATTGTGTCTTTAGCCTAGCCCTAAAACATAAGCGCAACCAAATATAACAGGTTGTATTAAATGCATATTAAATGTCACCTGATTTTCAGTTGACAGTCAGGTGACTTTCAATGGCATTAATACAACCTGTGATTGGTTGGGCCTTGCCAATCTGAATTTGTGAAAATACACTATATGCTGGTCAAATTACACGTTTTTCCACGTTTTCAGTCTCACAATTACATGATCTTGGTATACCTATTTGTAACATCTAAGAAGCAAGTATAATTTTTTTTTGCGATTTATGATTTTGGGAAATGGATTAAATCTAGTCAAATCTGAGGGTTAATGCTCCTGATCATCGCTCCTCAACCAGAAATAAAGGTGTGGCAACGACAGAAAAGCAGTCCGGAAGTAATCAAATTACTTATTACTTTGGTTCCTGCAAAAGTGGTTACTTTTGGACCTCAGTTTCCTGTAAGGATAACACACTACTACTACAAGATAGCCTAACCTCATAAGGCCTGTGTACTTCAAATTTTAAGCCCCCTCCCCCCCCCCCCCCCCCCGCCATGCCAAAGCACCAGTGATGACGTAGGCAACGTGTCGTTTTTCGTCTTGACGTAGGGTGCTTGCATCGCAGATTATGATTCCGCGGGCTTTTGCTTTATGCTATGCAAACTTGGTATTACTACATTATTTAACGTTCTAAAATAACTCTTTTTCATATTTCGATACGAAAACTCTATTCGATAAAAAAAAGATGTAGAACACTCATTGCGCAAGACGAGGCAGAATGTACGAAATTATGTTGAACTTACGTATAGCAATCCGTCTTTCTTATTTGCACGGGATGAAAAGGGAAAGAGAAAAACCGCAAGTTGTGCAACGTATTTGTCAATCAAAATCATGTGGCCCTGAAAATCGATCACTTGTCAAGCTATGTTAAGTTGAATATCAGCCGTATTTGTATCCTTTTCCAACCACGGGCGATATACAAGGATAAGGAAATCGCAGCATGCAAAACGAACACCTCTCACCTGTACTAGTTAGCCAATAAAAATGCATTGCCTCGTGTTAAGCGCGCATACAGGTAAAAATAGATAATAATATTGTATTCTAAACCACGACCGCTGGCGCAAACAGCTGATGACTTAGTTAATGACGTCGGCAATGGTGCTACACCATATGACCGCAATTACAAAAAACGAGGCAGATAAGCAATCCTTAGTAGTGTGTATTGTCCTTGGCCATAGGGGTAGTCACTTGACAGACCATTTCACAGACGAAAGATGATGGAATATCAAATATCAGACTTTAAGAAAGTCTTGAACGTTCACAATTAACATGACTAACTTGTCAAATAATAACGAGTGCCCATTCTAAAGCCACGACCTCCAAGGAAGAAAGAACGGCTATAAATTCGGCCCTGGGGAAGAAAAGCCGTTAAACAGAACAAAAATAAAGAGGATGTCAGATTTTTCAAATTACACGCAAAATACACGCTTTCTGTTTATGTTCACGGAAGCCAATCAAAATACACGCAAAAGACAAAGGTTGGGGCTTAGACGTTGGTGCTTTTTCTCTATGCAAAACCGTGTGTGACGGCCTTTATGGTAGGTTTACACCAGTGCTGCCAACTTGCTGATACAAAAAAATTCTACAAGAAAATAAAATGTCAAATGTCTCTGGATCAGATAAAATTGCCTCAAACAATCCTCCCTAGAATGCACTTTGTTAAGTTTGACAAACGACCCTGGCTTGTGATAAGTCTGAAAATGTCAAATTTGTCTTGTATTTTGGTATTCTTTTAACAAACATCAAATAAAAAAACCAGATAAATAAAATATCTCTTGATTGTTTGTAGGGTAAATATCCTTAAATTTAGGAATAAATTCCCTCTAGTTTGGCCTCACTTGTTTACAAAGACCCGAATCAAGGATAATACACCCTACTACTAAAGGATAACTTATCTTCATAAGGCCTGTAGATCAAATCTCAAGTTCCCCACCAAGCAAAAAACCAGTGATGACATAGGCTGCGTGTCGTTTCTTTTCTTGACGTAAGGTGTGGGGCAATTCGTTAGCAAGGAGAATACACACTCTAAGGAGTGCTTATTGGCCTCGTTTCTGGTAATCGCCGCCATATTGGTGTGTTACCATTTCCGACGTCATAACTAAGTTGTCAGCTATTCCAGCTTCCCCCACCTTTATTAGTGAAGATACAAAAAAAGCCTAATAACCAAACTGGCGCAAAAATTAATGAACTTTTGATTTATATTGTTGAAACAGTATCTTAGTATAGCGATTTCTTGAGAAAATTTAAATTTTTAGTTATATCTACAGTGCCTCTATACAAGACAGTGGCGACAATAGAGGGACGCATTTTTGATTGGCTGCAAAATATCAGCTATGTTTTGTCGAAAGTTATTCGTGTTTACCGTTTGATTCTATAGAGATTTATGCAATTTTGTGTTAATATATTTTTGTTTTTGTTATTTGTGCCTGTTATTGACTATTTTGAAGAAAAGAAAGAACAAATACATTATTGAATGAGTTCGACAAAGCATGGCGGGTGGGCGGAGCTTAGACGCTATATAGGGGCAAGGAAAATACACACTCTAAGGAGTGCTTATCGGCCTCGTTTTTGTTAATCGCCGCCATATTGGTTTTCAACTGTTTCCAACCATCGCCGACGTCATAACTAAGTCATCAGCTATTTAAACAGCCTACGTCAAGTCGAGAAACGCCATGCTGCTTACGTCACAACTGGTTGTTTGGCGGAGGGGGGTAGAGGGGAATTTGTTACACACAGGCCTTATGAGGATAGGCAATCCTGTAGTAGTAGTGTGTATCATTCTTGATATAGGGGCACTGTAGTTATATCTACAGTGGCTAAATAAACCTTTACATACAGTGGCGACAATAGAGGTCCCGCCGCCATCTTGTTCCCATCCTCTTGTTATTCTTAAATATTAATATATAGGATTTAAATGGACATCTATCATAAAAAATTGAATCGACATATTTGATTACCATTATTAGGTCCATCAAATACGTTGTTTTCCATGTATTATGATGGATGTTCACCTAAATCCTATATATTCATATTTAAAAGTAACAAGAGGTTGGGAACAAGATGGCGGCGTTTTCAATATAAATAAACGGGATTTTAGAACCAATCAAAAATAAGACAGCAATTGTCGCCACTGTGGTAATAGTTATATCTACAGTGGCTAAATAAACCTTTACATACAGTGGCGACAATAGAGGTCCCGCCGCCATTTTGTTCCCAACTTCATGTTACTTTTAAATATGAATTTATAGGTTTTAAATGGACATCTTTCATAAAAAATTGAAATCGACGTATTTGATGACTATTATTAGGTCCATCAAATACGTTGTTTCCATGTTTTATGATGGATGTTCACCCAAATCCCATATATTCATATTTGAAATAAGCAATAGATGGGAACAAGATGGCCGCGTTCTCAATATAAATATATGGGATTTTAGAACCAATCAAAAATAAGACAGCAATTGTCGCCACTGTGGGTAATAGAGTCACTGTAGTTATATCATCGTAATTGCGCCTCCTAGCGGTCATCTTAGATACTTGAAAATAATTTCCATCAATTTTTCTTGCCCGATTTAGACAAGCAAAACCTTAGTGGGACACCTTGTATAACATTTTAAAACAAAGCATTTTTGGATCTCGTTTGCATCTTTCTCTTTGTCTAACATGTTAATCAAAATTAAATATTTTTTATCATAAATGTATATCCTAAACTACGACCGCTGGCGCAAACAGCTGACAACGTAGTTGATGACGTCGTCAATGGTGCTACACAATATGGCTGCGATTTCCAAAAACGAGGCCGATAAGCAATCCTGTGTAGTAGTGTGTATTACACTGATTCTATTAAACACAGTGGCGACAATAGAGTTCCCGCCACTATTTTGTGCCCCATCTCTTGTTAATTTTAAATATTGAATTTTGAAAATTGAAAACAACATATTTGATGACTATTATTAGACACGTCATCAAATATGTTGTTTTCAATTTTTTTAAGATGGATGTTCGATGTTCACCTAAATCCTATATGTATGTATATTCATATTTAAAATAAGCAAACGGTAGGGAACAAAATGGCGGCGTTTTTTATATGAATATATAGGATTTTAAAGAACCCATCAAAAATAAGACAGCAATTGTTGCCACTGTAGTTAATAGAGTCACTGTAGTGTGTATTACCTTTGGACTTTAATTATACAGATATACTATAAAATCAAGGTTGTTTGAAAGAAGTATGTTACCTAATAATTTCTATGACATCATCAGAAGTGCCTAAACACATTGCAAATCTTCATTTAGGCAATTTGAATCAGCTGATAATTCAAGATGGCGACACATATTGTGGAACGTGAAGCCTAGTGCCGCTGCTGCGGAGGGGATACCTGTTTTTGTCGCACTCATTATGTTAAATGGCGGAAATTGCTTCCAACACGTATTCCAATTGATGAAACCTATGAAGGTAAATATGACAAAAACTTTCCAAAACGTCATATGTCAGCGAGCAACAGAAAAAAACAACATTCCCCTGGCATCTGTCTTTCATGGCTACATTTTTTTGGCAGATATGGCAATGTGTGCGCATTCCAGTTTTTGGCTATAGTTCATTGGTCATAACAAGCTTGATAACCGTGAAGGTGCATTTACATTCAATTTCAATTGATTGCAATTTGAATGTTAATGTGCCTTTACGGTTGTCAGGTGTGTTAATCCCACGACGCTATATTGAATTGAGAGGACGTCAAACCGCCCTATAAGGCACCCCAAATAACTTTAGGAGCATAAGATTTTATACCCAAAATAATATAACCTAAGACATACAAAAGTTGGTTAAGGCCGTTACACACGCTTTTGCAAAACGCATAGCTGTGGCTGTGGTTGATTGGAGCTTAGGGCGAGTTCTCATGAGCGTAAGTTGACATTTCTGGCGTAATCACGTGATAAAATGGTTGGATTTTATTGGTAAAATATTCGCTATGCTGGATAGTGATGTGAGTAGCGAATATTTCAACTAGAACATTCCCGTAAATTACGGAAATTTCGGAAATATTCGGATTTGTTTTGGGAACATTCGGAACTTTACGAAAATTTGGTTGAAATATTGCGCGAATTTTCGGATTTTAAATTTCCCGCCAGCATTTCGTGTCGCCTCGCGTCACCACAGCGGCACAGGATCACTTAACAGCGGCGCGTTGGCGTCAAACCATTCGCCAAACTAACCTCTAAGGGCCGGTTTCTCAATATTGAGTCACCTCCGGGTTAGTTTTAACTCCAGGTTAAGCTTGTCCAGTTGCAATAATTACCCTGGAGTTATGCCTAACCCGAGGGTGACTTGCTATTGAGAAACCGGCCCTAACCTCGATATCAACACCGTATGGGAGTGTTTAGTTTTGAAGGAACGAGTTGTGGCAGTTTTATCATGGTTTCTTTCCGGGAAAACACCGGCGCAGTGTTTGATTTTTTATTGTTCTACTTATTACCGAATGTGGGGAAACAAAAGTGTCGAGTGAGGATCACTTCAAATGTTTAAAAAAAGGAGAAAAAGATATGTACCAGTGTACGAAATGCTACATGTTTAGTTGATAAAACCATTTTTCTTTTCTTAACGCATTTCAACTTCATTTTTTAACAGAATATATCTCCTTATATAAACTTGACTTTATTTTAAAACAGTTCCTTACACTTACAGTGAAGAAAATTGAATGCTCCGTTAAATTTAAATAAATTTCACTAAAATACGAATATTTCGGAAATATTCGGAAGAAAAAATAAATTTCGGAAATATTACATCACTAATGCTGGATATTTTACTAATCAAATTATCACGTGATTACGCCAGAAATATCAACTTATGCTCATGAGAACTCGCTCTTATGTGTTATGCAAAACTATGTATGTCTCATTTCAATCATTTCATGTGAAAATGGATCTGCGCATGTTCTATTGAAACTTTGACAATTGACATTACTTTTGTGTTTGAGTTTGATTATTTAGGTATATTTTAGTGAGAGTTTTAACCCAGTAGTATGTTATATTTACTTGGGATACTACATTTTAGTGATCATGGCTGACATACTATGACGTCACAACATAAAACTCGGCTGTAAACATGTAACCATCTTATGAGGGATATTTACTGGTTGTAGTATGTCAGTGTATCTTTTTCTTATACACGAAAATGAGCATATGGGCAAAACAGCTGACTATGATTACCGTCACAGTTCTTTCCATTATAAATAGAGAATAAGAGAATTGCTTGATAGAGTGACAGAAAACACCTGATCATTATTTTGCAGCTGATTGGCTGAAGATAATTTTTTGTTATACTGATATGCAATTTTTCGCGAGTATAACCAAGCATAAACTTTTGCTGGATTATGTGATGTGTTATTTATATCATACTTCCCAACTAACAAATTCTGGAATATTTGAGGATCAAGAACACTTAATTTCTTCTGTGAGAACAGACCGAAAATCACCTGTTCTACATTTTAAATTAACGAAAAAATTAATTCACTAGCACAGCCTGAATCGCAAGCATTCCATCGAGGTCTGCAGGTGACGTCATCACTGCTGATAGTGACGTCACTCGTAGGCACAAAATTTGATAAGAGGGGGATAAGAAAAAATCTTAAAGGAAGCCATGTTTTGGTATTTAGGCATAACTTTCAATTCCAAACAACTTTTCTATATAATATTTTGCTGAATTTTTTAAAATAAGGGTACTTTACAGTACAAATATTGTTTGAGTTACTTTGTATGCTGTTTGATTTGCAACCTAATATGATTATCAGACATGCACCAACTTTTGGCCTTGTTAGAATTTGGGTTGTGGTATTATTAAAAAGAATTCCCATACGTTTCCCACTTAAATAACCACACTGTATAGGTATGTGTCTGTATATACACTATCTCAATGACTCAATGGTATACACCCACAATTACACATTATGCAGTAAAGTGGTACTTACATTAATCACTTAGGAATTTCAAATGTCTTTTTGTAAAAACTTTAATTATTTTAAAAAAAATTCTAGAATAGTCCTATGAGTACATTTTTGAAGTTTCAAGTTCCAATTATATGTAGAATTTACTACCTTCAAACCAGTTTTACACAAGATACACAAATTGTTACTAAATAAAAGGACAGAAACCATTTTGTTTGAACCAAATATCAATTTATATACCTATTTGAAATAAAGCTAAATCGACAAAAATGCACCAATAATCAGTTTTTATCAATTATGCAACAAAATCAAAAATATTAGTTATATTACAAAACTTACTAAGTAGTATGCTGTAAAACCATGAAACTTACCAAAAAAAATCCCAAGATTACCAATAGCACTACAAAGAGACTTTATCAAAAGGGTTGGGCATAGAGGTCATTTCGAAAGCTATTTTTACTACGCCTCGAAAGCGTCCCGCTTCAAATAAATCACCTAAACGCTAAAACGGTTCATTCTGAATCTAAAAAACGTATCGGATTTCATGGAAATCGATTATTAAATAAAGTTTTTGGCAAATAAACAATTTATTGCACTGACGTAACACGTCCACTCTTCCAAAAAATCCATCGCACACACACAAAAAAAAAATTGGTCTGTGGATTTTTTTTTTTGACAGTTCAACATCTGTTTTTGACACTGTTGACGGATAAAAATAGTGCTGTATTGTCAATATCGATATGTATCGACAAGGATCTTGCAAAATTAATACCTAGGGTTTTGTTTTAAAGATAACTTAATACAAAAATATTTATTAATTTAAATACAAATTTTTAATATTTTCTAAATTAGCTGGATTTAGTTCCATATTGGCTTTCCTATCAACAAAGCCCACCTTTAAAAGTGACTTTATATCTTCCCTAGTACATTCCGGCTTGAACATCTGCAACAACTTTTCGTGATTTTTCTCAAAAAGTGCCATCTTTTTGACAGATTTTTTATCTCTCAAAACAGCCCTCTTCCATTTTTCATTTAAAAAACTAAGCGAGCTATTAATTTTCTCCTGACGCAGCTTAAGTTCATCTACAAAGCAAGTTTCCACCAGATATTCTTCGATCAAATCTCGAACTTCGTCTTCTAGTTTTTCGGTTTTTTGAGAGTATTCTTGGGTGCAGTCTCTGGCACAATCCAAAGCTGATGAGTAAATTTTTTGGGGATCTGGGATGCAATCATCTGGGACTGAGAAGATTTTTTGAATTTGTTCATAGAACACTTCAAAGCTTGGTTCAGACAAGGCCCAAAACTGTTGATACCGTTCAAACAATTTTTCGTCGCTAAACTTGTCGTCTTTGATATTATTAGCCTTGCAATGGTTTCTTATATTGACCAGTTCGCGTTTAAGTTGTTTGTCGATGATTTCCCTGTCTATTTGAAAAAATAGGTGAAAAAAGGGTAAATAAAATAACCAAAAATCAACTTACAATCTTGGTAAATGAATGTACTGCACACACCATAGTGGAATAATTCGTTTTGGTCTTTTTTGAAACGTTCTTCGTCTAATAATACAATCATTTTTTTGGAATAACTGTTTTGAAGATTTGAAATTGAAATCAGCTGCTTCCTGCTTCTACTACTGACTACTGACAAGTGAAGTCAGTCATAGTAAGATTTTTATATCGATACCTTCATCGATACACATCATGGAAGCAGTGTTGCCAGGTCATATTTTGTTTTGTATGTAGATTACAATGAAGTAGTAAGAATGTTGAAATAGCCCTTCGCCTATCTACTCAATACATATATTTGCGGCCAACATTAGAGTGAGAGAACAGGAGAGATTCATGAGATTTTCTTGCCCTTACTAGCGCTATCTCACTCAGGGTTAGAAAGAGAGATATGGGAGATCCAATATATTTCTTGCCCTTACTAGCGCTATCTCATTTTGGAATCAATTGAATGACGCATTCCATACCTCTTTCTACTTTATTGGTAGATTACCAGTCTAAATATCAGTAGAAATCAGTAGACAAATAAGTTGCCTTGTTAAATGGGTAAACCATTAGGGTATACTCAATTAATTATTTTAACTACGTTTTCTCAAATCATTAAATCATTAGACTGTGTATTAGACTATTGCCCTATATTTGGTTCTATATTCTTAAAAAGTACAATTTCCCTATTCCAAAATTATACATATAGTGTAGCAAAACGCCCCAAGTACTCTGTAGTGTAATTGGTTAGATGGTAAATGGCGAGCGGTATATTGATGGTGTTTATTTCCTTGGAGCTGCTACCTATAAAATTGTGGAGGGGGTCTATTCGCAAACGAGAGAAACAAACTATTGAGGTTTACTAAATTATATTTTATTATACACAAAACCAAAAATTTAAATCAGCAAAATATCTTTCAATTCTGACAGCCTCATCTATTTTTCTAAATTTTAATTACTTCACATGTCATTATTACGGACCGGAAAATATCCATACAAATAAAGAAACGCCCTATTCCTACTATTCCTAATAACTTATAAGTTTATTCATTCAACACTTTCGATTCATTCCTATTAAACTACCCTTCACCTATTTCTTTAAATTCTTAAAAATTCCTAAGTCCTTTACTGACTGCTTATGCAAAAATCAAAATAATTATTTATTAATTTAGGTATTACTAACTTATTCTTATAAAACCTCACAATAATTTCTACATGAAAAATAAAACCCTAATTCAAAATATCAGCACTTTATCATCAATGTTACAACATGAACAACAATTTTCAAACAAAAACTTTTTATCAATTTAATCAGAACAATTACTATTTTCGGAATCCTAGCCTAGCTAATAAACTCAAATGTTTAATGAATAAATCCTTCTCAAAATCGATTCTTGTTAAGTGCATTATAATATAAATTCCCTTTATATTTTCTTTGCAAAATTAAATTAAAATGTCAATATACTCGAAGGCAATTAAAGTTATGCAATAATGTTCCATAGTCAAAACACTCGAGTTATTACTATTTATGCAATAAAGTTCCAAAGTTAATTCACTTCATAGTCATTCATCGCAATTATAAAGTCAAAAGTTTTACTAGTCAAAATCACTCAAGTTTTTAGGCATTAAAGTCAATTGTCAATTCACTTCTTATCATTCAGAATCATTGTTAAAAGTCAGAAAAACATTAATAACCACTAAAGTCCTTACATTTAAATTTTCACACGTAAAATTACCTAATTTAATTTACTTCAAAAATCTCTAGCTAGAGCACGCACATAATTAAAATGAAGGAATTTTAAATGTTCTTTTTCACAACTTTCCGTTACTTTTCAAAGACCTTTTCCGAGGCCATAAAAGAAACTTTCGCGAATTTTACTCGGACTGACACATTAGGTACTGTAGACTTTAACTCAAACTGGACTGGACTGCGAACTCATCTGACCACTCTGATGATCTCAACTGAAACCGCGGTTATTCGATCCCCCCAAAATTTCTTTGTCCATAACAATTAAGATGATGCAATCTCCTTGAAATTTTTGGCATTTTTATATGTTTAAAATCGAATAATTATTTCGCAATATCCTGATTTATCGGGGTCAATACATTGGTTCAAGAATGTGAGAACAACACAAAGAAAGCCGATAGAACACGTGAGCCATAAATCATCGATTTAATTAGGTACGATGGCCTCGCTTAAAAAAGTTCATTGATATATGATTTAGGAGATGACATCACGCTGGACGAAATAATATAATTTCGAATGTATTTGGGGTCACGCTAGTTTGTTCCATTTTCAATTTATCGATACTGATTTGAAATACCGGAAATTCAGTTTTTGATTATTTGATTATATTTAATTTTTTCAGTAAAGACATTGTAATTTACGGGTCTATTTTCTGGGTCATTACAAACTCAAAATCACCAAAATCCTTAGTCGGTCTTGTTTCGGTCAGACACGCGGCAAGCACTTGTGTTTTTTGTATAGGTATACTATATAGTCACGTATTTCATCAAATTTTGATGGCAAACTTTGTGTGTTTAATAAAATGATATTATTCTGCGATTTATGCGTATCTGTATGACAGTTATTGTTCTCTGAAACTAGAAAACCAGTTCTTTTTTTTTTTGTATTTGATCTAAAAAATGCTTGTCACAATCCGACACGAAACAATTATCAGATAATATTAAAGTGTTACTGGTTGGTTCCAAGATACATGTTGACCTCCCCATGACAGGTAGAATATTTGTTTTTTTGTATGCAAGTATCACTATGATCGTTAGAAGACGCTGTAATATTTAAGATGTCTTTATCTCTATTTGTAGCAGTTAATACAACAATATCATTTGGCCTGACCAAATTACTATAGCAAATATATTGCTTGAAAAGGCTACATAAAATCTGTTTTTTTTTTTTTTAAATAAAAGTCAAAATGACATTATGTTGGCAATGCAATGTAAAATTGTCAAACTTTCAAGTTTTTTATGTAGAAAAGGCTTGTGTTGCCAACCTAGTTACTAAATTTTTGACTTGGGGAATTATCTTTTTAAAAAACACAGACTTTAGTTTGTTTTTATTTAAATCGATAACCTTGCTCATATCTGACGTTTTCAATTATTCGTTTTTCGGCCTTTTCATGGAATTTACCTCCCTCTTAAGGGTAGAAACCACCCCCAACTTTTTTTTTTCAAATGTAAAGATATGTATTATGATAGCTCGTTGGAATAGGCATAAAAAAAGGAATATGACTCATTATTTACTTTTGCATTTTGGTGATCTAGGAAGCGGGAAAAAAATTAAAAAATATTGGTCCTAACAATTTTTTTGCAGTTAAAATTGTTGAATATCTTCAGCATTTCTTCTTGGTAGAACCCTAATGCGAAACAAGCCCCATTTGTGACGTTATGTAATTATTTCTGACGTTAACACACAATTTGATGCTTGATACTCGGATTCTCAACCCTAAAATAGGGCGTTAATGTCAAAAATAATTACATAACTAGATCACCGAAATGCAAAAGTAAATAATGAGTCATATTCCTTTTTTTATGCCTATTCCAACGAGCTATCACAATACATATCTTTACATTTGAAAAAAAAAGTTGGGGGTGGTTTCTACCCTTAAGAGAGGGGTAAATTCCATGAAAAGGCCGAAAAAATGTGCCAAACTAAAAATAAAGGGACCCGTTTTTATTATTTTTCCAGAAAATAAACAGGCTTTCTGATACTAATTTTATAATATTACATATTACCGTTTGTGGCGTTTATTTTACAGCCACTGTATCACATACATTTTAACGAATACACCAATACCAAAGAAAGATTAAATTGATCCAAATATACTTAAAAAAAACTTTGATAAGAACGGAGCGAAGTAAAAGTACGTATTTACACGCCGATGAACATAAACATCGTAATTGAACAACATATTGATGAATATATGGCACAGAGGTCCACCCATAAGTTCCGCAACAATTCACTAATTTGTATTTGAAAAACTTGTCACATTATGTTACTAGTTTGGTAAAGTAACATTATTACTAATTCCTGTTGAAAGGCGAATTGACAAAAAGTGGATAATCTTACAAATTCTTACTTTATATAATAAGTAATTGTTCAAGTACAAATAAGTGGATTATTGTTGAGGAACTTATGGGTGGACCTCTGCGGGACGAGCGCAGCGAGTTCCGCAGCCATCTACTCACCAATATACTGCTGAACTGTTCAAATAAGACCTTCACCTAAAACATGTAATTTTTAAACTCATGAGAATAACTCACATTTGAGCGAGTCAGGTTAGTATCAGGGCCGGCCCTACCATAAGGCGAACTGAGCGAGCGCTCCAGGCGCCAGACCTCGGGGGGCGCCTTCGACTTGTTCCTTGGTAATAAAAAAAAGGGAAAAATATATTATCCCTTTGAATTCTGTCTCTGCTTTTCGATATTTTGCTTTTCTGCTTGTGAGCAAGCTTGTGCTTACTTAGTATGTGAATAACCTGTCCTGACGTTTTTTTGAGACGCGCACGGATCGTGGGTGTGGTGGCGCCTTTACTCGAGCATTTGATCACGATATTTCGGATAGTGATAACGGTCACCTGAAAGCAGTCCTTCAGGCGTTAGCATTTAATAATTGGCAAGATACGTTTCCTTATATCTGGACAGCTGTCCGTATTTTTGTTACCATTCCTGTTACAGTGCCGAAAGGTGAACGGAGCTTAAGTAAGCTTAAGGTAATTGAAACTTACCTTAGCGGTCAACTCTAGCAGAATAGAGAAACCTTCAAGATCTAGCCCTGCTGTCCATTGAAAATGTTATAGCTCAAATATTGTCATATGAGGATTTATGAATAAAGCTAATGCAAAAATTTCGTATTTTGTTTTTTCGATTTTTATATTTATTAGGCCCGGTTTATTTATATTCAGATAAACTTGCGGGTAATTATCGGCAAGATAAATTTACCGTTCTATAAATCTATTGGGCGGCGCATAGCTGGCCAACCAATGGGATAAGATATTGCATTTTTATCGTTCAGATTGCATACCTCACCTGACAGTTTATCAGAAGGTGAATAAACCGGCCCTAATGGCCGTTTCCACAAACTATTACGATAAGTATTCTCTAAACTGACATTTCTCCATAGAAAACTATCAGTTTAGGGAATACTTATCGTTAGGGCTTCCCGAAAATAACTAGTTGGTGGAAATGGCCATAATAAGTGTTATAAGTGATATTACCACAGGGGCGTCGCGTCGGGGGTGGGGGGGTAATGGGGGTAATTACCCCCCCCCCCCCCCCCCAGGATCCAAAATTCAAGGGAAGAATCACGATGCCCAAAAGAAAATACATAATAATATTAAAGAAAATACATTTTTTTTTTTGTTTTATTTTCCTCACAAAGGAAATTATTGTTCTGGAAAAGTGAACGACCTTGAAATTGACAAAAAAATTTGCCTGCGGCGCGTTAGCGGGGGGTCGCATCTTCCCATTACCCCCCCTAGACTGCAAGTCACGCGTCGCCACTGTATTACCAAAGTGGATTATTGGTTGATCCCATCAAAGAATGTGAACTAAATGTTAGTAAATAAGAGAACTTTGTACCAACGAACAAATTTCAATTGATAAGATAAATAGAGACATTGAGCTTTGTTGCCCCAGCAGGAAACCGTAATATTATCGTCAGGATTCAGCGCAAAACCTAAAATTTTTGCATAGAAACCGAAATTCGTATACAGAGAGGTTCCGAAACCGTTCTGGGACGTTTTTTGACGGGTTGGAACAAACCTATTAGCAGGGTTGGATGGGACGACCGCAAATGCCCGGTATAACTCTGGGACGGTCGGGCCGCAGGCCCGACGCGTCTAGATTAATAATAAAATTTTAAAATTTATATATTTGACAAAAACATCATGAAAACTACCTATCTAAAACAATATTAAGGCTGTGGTCCGAATATAACCCAGGGCTGTGGTTTCGCGGTCCGAAAGCGATCAAATTACTCTGGTACCTGGAATAGTGGTTACTTTTGGACCTTGGTTTCCTGAAATCTGGTTAACCAAATGTCAAAATAGTTACCGACTATCGGATGTCGGTTCTGTTGGTTTTATCTGTAAATTCCTAAAAATTCTGTCAACAATTTTTTATTTCATATTCGTGTTCCCTAGTTAAGCCTAGTACTCATAACTGCGAAATTCGCATTTTTTTGACAATGCGTTGACAATCTGACGTTTTATGCGTGTATCAAACATCAAATTGTCAACGCAATGTCAAAAAAATGCGAATTTCGCAGTTATGAGTACTAGGCTTTAACCGGAAATTTCAGAAACCATCTGTCAACCGGATCGGTTACTTTGGTTAACATTTGGTTATATTCGGACCATAGCCTTCAGCCTAGTACTCATAACTGCGAAATTCGCATTTTTTTGACATTGCATTGACAATTTGACGTTTAATGCGTGTATCAAACGTCAAATAGTCGAAGCAATGTCAAATGAGTACTAGGCTTTAAAATGAATATTATGCGTGAGGTCCGAAACCACTGGTGACGGTTTAATTGAGAATGCAGTGTTGCCAATCTGAATTTGTGAAATTACACGATATGCTGGTCAAATTACATAGTTTTACACGATTTCGTCTCACAATTACACGATTTATACACATGACCTTGGTACCTAATTAGTAACATCAAGAAGTAAGTATTTATGATTTTGGGAAATGGGTCAAATCCAGTCAAATCTGAGGGTTGATCATCGCTCCTCAACCAAAAACAAAGATGTAGCATCGACAGAAAAGCGATCCAAAAGTAATCTAATCACTAATTACTCTAGTTCCTGGAAAAGTGGTTACTTTTGGACCTCAGTTTTCCTGCCAGGATGAGGCACCCCAGATGACGTCATACAGTTATCAGGCAACCTACCTCTCTCAAACATCCTAGCCATAAGAGTAGTCACTTGACAGACCATTTGACAGACAAAAGATAATGGAATGTAATGCAAGGAGCAATTAAGGGAAGAGAAAACGTCAAGTCCTATTTGTTTGTCACAATGGGACCGTGACCTATCTATATGTAATAATATCGAGAATGAAAATTCCAAAATATTCTTTCGTTTTCTTAACAGTAAAATTTTTGAAACCAATTTTTCATTCTTGCCGTCCAAGGGAGGGCTGGATGAAAAAAATTGTCAGGGCCGGTTTGTCTAAGCCCATCCAACCCTGCCTATTAAATTAGATATGGTCAAAATCTATACTCGCGCATGCGAATCACATTTAAACTAGGGGCGCCAGTCAGATCTCGCTCCATACTAAAAGTAGCCTCGGGCCGGCACTGGTTAGTATGGTAATTAAACAACATATTGATGAATAGATGGCTGCGGAACTCGCTGCGCTCGTCCCGCAGAGGTCCACCCATTAGTTCCGCAACAATTCACTCATTTTTTGTACTTGAATAACCTGTCACAATATATTACTGGTTTGGTAAACAAACATTACTAATTCCTGTTGAAAGGCGAATCGACAAAAAGTGGATAATCTTACAAATTCTGACTTTATATAATAAGTTATTGTTCAAGTACAGAGTGTTTTTTTATATATTGACACCTCACCTACAGCCTTCACCTTTACAAGTAGATGAAAGTTGTAAGTACAAAAGTTGTACAATATTTGTTGGTTCAATACAAATCACACCGACTGATCGGAGTAATCGGGCAGACGTCGTTCAGAGGACACTCCTAGAAGTCCTAGCCTAAAGGTCGCGTATGAAATTATTACTGTGACATTCTCATACGAGATTTTAATTTAAAAAAATATCATAAAAAACAGGTAAATGATAACGGCTTTTATCAGTAGAAATTACAATTATTGATATCAATTAGACCAGTGGCCAAATCAGTAGACCTGGGCTGCGTTCATGAATGGCTACAGCCAAGCCAAAATTGGCATTTTGCGTTCGAGTTCGGCTCCAACCTACGTGGTTCGGCATTATTATATTATATATTATATGACTCTATTACCCACAGTGGCGACAATTGCTGTCTTATTTTTGATTGGTTCTAAAATCCCATATATTTATATTGAAAACGCCGCCATCTTGTTCCCACCTATTGCTTATTTCAAATATGAATATATGGGATTATGGAATTTAGGTGAACATCCATCATAAAACATGGAAAACAACGTATTTGATGGACCTAATAATAGTCATCAAATACGTCGATTTCAATTTTTTATGATTGATGTCCATTTAAATCCCATATATTATTATTTAAAAGTAACAAGAGGTTGGGAACAAAATGGCGGCGGGACCTCTATTGTCGCCACTGTTTGTAAAAGTTTATTTAGCCACTGTAGGCATTACCAGTGGAGGGGGAAAAGTAGGTTTTGGCATTAGCATCGCCATCTTTGAACGCACCCCTGGAATTCCTGGCAACACTGTTATCGATACACATCATGCAAGACATATCGATATCTTGCAAAAATAAAACAACACTCTTCTTTTTTTCTCTATTCATAAAACATTCCTCTAATGTTTTTGTTTACGATCGACAGGATTTGGAGAGGGGAGAAAGTGACACTTTGACATACGATACCCCCCTATTTTGTTTTTTTTGATTGACAGTGTTGTCCTCCCCTATATTATATTCTTTTTTTTTTGCGGGGCTCCCCGATGTATTTTTTGGAAAAGTTGTGCCGAATATGCGTTCAAAACGGTCGCGGTTTGGTGGACATAAACACGATAGATTTCGATTCGGTGCGGTTGAGCGACAAATTGGAAACTTGCACCAGTTTGGTAAGTTTAGAATTATTGTTTTTTAGAGTGCTCGACCTATTGATTTTTCGCCCCCAATGGGGTTTACAGGTTGTTAAAAACAGTGGTGTAGGTTTCAGATTTTTTCGTATTATTGTAGTAAGAGATATTTCAGGCTTTTGGGGTCCTGATATTGAGAATTAGGCCATCGTTCTAGGGTTGTTTACTCAAAATCTAAAGTATATACCTAGAGGGGCTGTAATACTACAAACAGAATCCTATTTAGGTACCCCATTTTTCACTTTTAATCCCCTGTAAAAATACATTTTTAAATCCTGTTTTGCTTATTTATCCATTTTAAAAATTGCTCTTCGTTTTCTTATTCTCATACCTACTAGATTTTTAGCTAACTTACCATAATAAATTCTTTACTTATGTATCTATTGCTCAGACTTCAACTATTCTCAAATTTTTCTGTTTTGGGTCAAAGTTGAAAAAGGTTTTCTTATCCAAATTAGTTTTTGAAGCTGAAATACCCCAATTTTGATAAATTATTCAAATATTTGATTATTTTTCATTTTTCTAACCTGACTTAAGATTTCGATTTGTGATTTTTTGCTCTTTAGTTGGCAACCCTGCCCACTACCCTGCCTGAAAGCGCCATTTTGAAAATTGTTAGGTTAGAAATTCATGAAAAAATTAAAAGAGCTTTCTCAAATAAAGAGGAATTTTGTGCCCTCATAATAGTCAAATATCTACATAATAATATTTGGAATAGAAATTTTTTAATTTACCATAAACTTTTCCACTAACTTTACTGAAATTAGGCGATTTGACGTTCTGTCCGAGATTTTCTGTCAATTTATTGATATTCCATATGGCGTCGTGGGCATAACAAACTTGAACGATGATAATGGTTACTAGGCAACCTGACGTCATGAAAGTAGAGTTCTAGTAGAATTCTACTTTTATGACGTCATCTGCGACGTATTTATCGCGTACAGTACAGGCGATGATAATGGTTACTAGGCAACCTGACGTCATGAAAGAAGAGTTCTAGTAGAATTCTACTTGTCGTGATCCCAGCCCAGAACTGAGATTAAATATCGGTTCCGTTCCAGTTCCCGGCGTAATGACAAATATCGGTTCTGTTACGGTTCCGGTTCTAACAAAAATATTTCGATTCGGTTTGGACCAATAACAGGTCTGTTCGCAGAGAAATCACAAACCAGTCAAAGTGAATCTCATTGGTTGAAACTAGTTTTCTGACTGTTTCTGATTGTTTTCAACCAATGAAATGCGCTCTGACTGGTTTGTGATTGCTGTGCGAACAGGCCTATTGGTTCATACCGGTGTATGGTGCATTTTTTCCCAAGATGGATTTTGACATTGAAAACTTTGAAACATAAACAATACCTCTTGGCCCTGATTGGTCGCAAAATGCCGTGTCCCTGCAGGTTGGAATCACTATGTTGTGCCAATGGCATGTTGCGTCCAATAAGCTGCATTGTTTAAGTTTCATTAGTTTCAAAGTTGCCAATGTCAAAATCTATCTTGGGAAAAAATACACTTTAGTTTTTCACAAATATCTAACGGAAACATGTAGGTATGTTTCTGTAATTTGTAGACACCAAAGTACCATTGATGACGTAGACAGCGTGTCGTTTCTCAGCTTTGACGTAGAGTGTTTGCTAGAACGGGTGTTTGCACCCACAGGTTGTTACGATTGCGCTGGCTTTTGAACTGTGCTATCAGCAATCCAGACCACGTGATTCAATATGGCCGTTCATGTCAAATATTGTGGTGACGTTCTTAAGAAACCATTTGTGTTACTTGTTGTATGAACTATATACACTTTGCCAAACATAAAACAAGGCTGGGATCATGACAAGTAGAATTCTACTCTCATGACGTCAGGTTGCCTAGCAACCATCATCATCCTATGTACTGTACGCGATAAATAGGTCGCGGGTGACGTCATGAAAGTAGAATTCTACTCGTCGTGATCCCAGCCCCCAGCCCTGGTACACATTTTCCTATTGTGTGGTATTGTGTAAAACGACCTTTTTTTTCACCCCAAAAATGACAAAGAGAGTCAAATCAGTGTCATCTTTGAACCAAACATAACATAGGGCGCGTTCTTTTATTCAGCAATGGATCCACCTGCTGCCGGCATTATAAGACAGACATTCCTATTTTCTATGAGCTAGACAAAGAAAGGCTGATTACTGATCCACCGCTGAATAAAAGAAAGCGCCCCTTAAAACATGCTGCATTCACTTTTGTGCAGCTTTGACATTGACAAAAACTGTCTGATCTGTCTTTTAAATTGTTGTTAAGCCGGCCTCACACTAGTCAAATTTGAAAAATATATATTGCCTCTACCAGTTTTATGTTGGGCCAAGTGTACACTACACGTAACTGGAACGGCACCCAACAGCTGCTTCCAATCCATTTTTGAGGCAAATTTTATGGTAGTGGGAACGACAATAAAATTAGTTGTTTACTTTGTCACACACGTGCATGTTTACGAGCAATGGTGGGGTATAATAAATCCACCTAGCCTTGTCTAAGAATGCGCAAGACAAAAACAACCCCCCCTTTTACTCTTTTAAAAATTTGCCTCAGGCGTGATAAATGCTGGTGCTATTCCATTTACGTAGTATACATTTCCATGACAATGCCAATGTCAAACACAAATGTCCAAAATGTGATAAATAAGTAATTTTTCATTGATTTTTATCAATTACCTAGAACCTAAATGTAAACAACGCGGCGTTTGACCCGAACGGCCATATTGAATTTTGTTTAACAGGTCAATGGATTGCCTAATTAACATTCTAGAACAATCCTTGTTTAGATCTCGTTTGCATCTTCGTCTTTGCCTATTATGTTAATTAAAATTTAATAATATTCTTCATCATGAATATTCTTAACTACGACTTCTGGCGCAAACGACATCGTTGTTGACGTCAACAACGGTGCAACACCATATGAACTTGATTCCAAAAATCGATGCCAATGAGCAATCCTATCCTGTAGTAGTGTGTAATATCCTTGGTGCAGTCTAGCCGAGAAATACGTTCTTTCCCAAGCTCAGTTTTTTAAAGTGTTAATTTTATTATGATACGACCAAACATCAAAAGCTTAATTTATAAAATCTTGGAACCGAAAAATACCGGTAAGAACCGATTAATTTATATCGATTCCGGTTCTGCCTGCTTTACAACATTTCTATGAAATTTGAGTTTCGTTCCGGATGACGTCGACAACGGTGCAACACCATCAAGATTCCTAAGATTAATAGGTTGCCTGGTAATGAGAAATAGATGACGGCATAAAAGTTATCGGAGCTAGGACTCTAACGACTGTAACACATAGAGATCATTATCCCTATCGCTATGGCACTTGCTATCCTTTTTTCTCTTTTCGAAATTAATAGAGAGGAGAAGTCAATAGAGATAGAGATCTTATATCTCTATTCGTTACAGAGTTCCAGCTCAGGAGCCTAATTCTGTAAAAAACGAACCGTTCGATTCGGTAGAATTTCTTCGATTGTGACGTCATTTTCGGCATTTTCGGAATAGCTTCCGCGCTAGCAAACCGAAAATGACGTCACAATCGAAGAAATTCTACCGAATCGAACGGTTCGTTGTTTATAGTATAAGGTCCCACAGGCAACCTTTCTTTTCCAAACAGCCTTGCAACATCATATAACCCCTGATATGACCTTGAATACAAAAATCGAGGCCGAGGATCAATTCTGTCGTAGTGTGTAATATCCTTGCCGTTAAGGTACGTTTACATTCAATCCCAATTCAAAACGCAAACAGTCAGTTGTTCAACTGTCAAGTAATTTCAGTTGCAATTTGAATTGGAATTGAATGTGAACGTGCCTTTACGGTCGTCAAGTTTCTTATGCCCACGGCGCCATATTGAATATTATTAAATTAAAAATTTACAAAACGTCAAATAATGGCGGATCAAGGTTATTACACACTACACAGGATAGTCTATTTGTAGTATCCTGTATTTGTTATAATTCCATTAGCTCATAGATGGCGCTAACAGTAGTTAGGTTGTGTGATGACACAGGTCAAGGATGATACACAGGCCGAGTTCGTTTTTGTCATCCTTTTCGTCGATTTGCTCCGAAATTTTGACGAGCACGTGACTGGATAAGACAGTTTTAGTTTACAAATCACGTGCCTGTCAAAATTTCGGAGCAAATCGACGAAAAAGATGATAAAAACGAACTCGGTCACACTACCACTACAGGATGGCCTATCCTCATAAGGCCTGTGTGTAACAAATCCCCCCCTTACCCCCTACACCAAACGACCAGTTGTGACGTAAGCAGCATGGCGTTTCTCGCCTTGACGTAGGCTGTTTAAACAGCTGACGACTTAGTTATGACGTCGGCAATGGTTGAAAATCAATATGGCGGCGATTACCAAAAACGAGGCCGATAAGCACTCCTTAAAAAGTGTATTCTCCTTGAATACAGGTAATGTCATTCAGTGATGTCAAGGATGTTGGTTGGTAATTTAATAACAATTTATTAAAAACAATTAAATGCTAAACATTAATTAAATAGAAGTTCATTTGATTATCAATATTCATCATACTCGACCATAACACCTCGTTTAACAACAAACAAACAGTACACTATTTAGGGCCTGTGTAGATCAAATCTCATCATAAATGTAGATTCTAAACTACTACCACGCGCAAACAGATTACGTCACCGTTGATGACGTTGACAACGGTGCAACACCATATGACCTTCAGTGGCGGCTCCTATATTAGAAATGTGGGGGTTGCAATTCCAATTTCAGCTTCATCGGATAATGATCGACCACAGAATGGCTCTGCAATTAAACTTTAAACATTTTTTTGTCACGCACCACACTACAAACTAAAATAAAATATTTTAAAACAAACCTAATCTGCGATGCGCGCAAAAAAGTGAAGAAAGTTTGCAATTCGCCTGCAACCTGCTGGAGCTTATGGGACGGAATTGGAATCCACGCGTAGATAGGCACCACGTATGCGACGTCGTATAAGCCGATCGGGTTGCATTCGAGCTGCAATCCGGCGCGGCAGCGAGTCAGTTATTGCCATTTTGGTGAAGGTAATCAAATTATATTGATAAATTTATTGCGGGGAAGCTCCTCGCGTATTATGTAGGTACCAAATTTTGGTATAATTTATTTTTAAAATATAATTAGGTACTAAAATATTAGTTCTTTTTTGTTTTATTGTTTTCAACTTTTGTTTTGGGGGTTGCACAAACCTGCAAACCTTAGGAAGAGCCGCCACTGATGACCTTGACTCCAAAAACAAAGTCGATATGCAATCTTGTTGTAGTGTGCAATATCCTTGCCGTAAAGGTACATTTATATTCAATTCAAATTGCAAATGACCAGTCTTCGAACTGTCAAGTAATTTCAATTAGGCACTCGCTCAAGGTTGTCTGGTAATGGGTAACTTGATGACGCATCTGGAGTGCCTTATGGAGATTTGCATTATGTTTAGGGGGACGTTATCAAATTATCCAGGCAACCTACCTCTCTCAAATAACCTTGGCACTTGCTGACGTTACACACATAACCTCACTTTCGATGGAGGGTGAAAAAAGCGTTCAAGGACTATTTACACACATCTTAGGCGCTAGCTATTACGTCACAAATCACTTTCGTTAAGAGGACAAACATGTCATTGGGACAAACTATATTTACATCTATTTGCGTACTTTGTATAAATAGTCCTTGAACGCTTTGTTCGTTCCCCCATCGAAAATGGTTATGTGTACGATGTTAGCTGGTACCTAATTGAATGTAAACGTGCCTTTACGGTCGTCAAGTTTGTTATGCTCGCTGCGCCATATTGAATAATCATAAATTGATAATGTTGTAAGTTGAAAAGATATTAAATTACGTTAAATGCTTTGTTCATCTGTTAATATAACTGGTTAATCGCCTTTAATTATTATCTTATCAGTAATGCCGGTTTCGATAGTAACTATCGAAAACAATCGATTGTTCAAGAAAATTTATCAGTTCGTTAGTAGTATACTATCGATAGTTTTCGATAATGCTTTTGATAGTTCTTAACTGGAGTTCGAGAATTATCGATAGTGGCCATCATCGATAATTTGATCTTCCATTATCGATAGTTTCCTATTTTCAAGCAGAAACCAGTCGCAATGACGTTCTCAGTTTTTTTCTATTTGGCCTTAAATTTACCAAAGTCCAATTTTTGAAGTGAAAACGAGTTAACCCAAACGAGAGAGAAAAACAGTAACAGTCAGCAGTGCGAGAGAGAGAGGGATAGCGTGGCAAATTTCGGCGACGTTGCCGATATCATTGGCAAAATTTTACTTGCTTGTAAAAGGTTGTCTGGTAATGGCAAACAGATGACGTCATCAGGTGGTTTTTATGGAGATTTGCATTAGACGATTTCGCCACGTTTTGGTTGGTAGGTAAATTGGTTAACCGCTAGGTAGGCTCTTCGTCACAACAGCGACGTCACATACCATTTTCAGCCGAAATCGGCCGGTTTGTCAAATGTCACGTGTATGACGTGATGATGATGGTATGCCTGAGAAAATTAAAATAAACAAAATCCTGAATATTTTTTATTGTTGGAAATTAAAATTGGGAATAGTGAAAATTAATTTGTTTTGTATAATTTCAAATATAAGCAAAAAAGTGAGGTTGAATTACTCCAAATTAGAGAGAGATAGCAAGCTACCAATTCAAATAACCGTGCTCCAAGCTGGGTACCTAATTTGACATACCAAAATAGATACCTGAGTTTGTGACGTCATTGTTTGGTAGGTACATTTTTGACCAGCCAAAGTGGGTTACCAAAACGTGGCGAAATCCTCTATTATGTTTAGGCATACAGATGACGTCACAAAAGTTATTAGGCAACCTTCCTCTCTTAATCAACCTTGAAACCATAAATGCCAGAATTCAATATGGCGGCAATAGTCAAACAACACAAGATATTATAAAACTTGAACCTCTAGGGACCTCATTCTTGAAACAGGGAAGCAGCGTTCTCAGGAGAACGAGTGTTCCTTCTTTCCCAATGATGATATGCAACTCTGGGTTTCTATTCTCATAACCTAGGAACAGATTTCTGACGAGAATGATTATTCTGTCTTTGTCAGTGTTATGGAAATATATACATAGGCGACTGAGACAGAACCTTTATTCTTAGGAGAACGCTGCTCCCCTGTTACGAGAATAAGGGCCCTCTGATAGAATCAGTAACAAAAGACGGAGTTCTCCTGAAAACGCTGCTCCCCTGTTTCAAGCAAGATGTCACTAGAGGTTCAAGTTTCATGATATCTTGTGTTGTTTGACTATTGCCGCCATATTGAATCCTGGTTGAAAGAGAGGAAGGTTGCCTGATAACTTTTGTGACGTCATCTGTATGCCTAAACATAATAGAGGATTTCGCCACGTTTTGGTAACCCACTTTGGCTGGTCAAAAATGTACCAACCAAACAATGACGTCACAAGAAGAAAAACCCAGAGTGGGGGGTTGATTTTTTTGTGTCTCGCTCAGAAATTGACGTTTCCTATTAAAAGTGTCCAAATTGGACTACCTTGTATATACAGTACATTATTTGTTTTTATTCAAAAAAAAAGCTTATCTTTGAAAATAAAATGATTTGAAAATCCAACGAAAACGCGGGATAGGTGTGTGACGTCAGAATCCCAGAAATGCGAGGATGCCGAGTTTCTACATCTTTCATTTCAATCTGGTGTCCGACGAGAATCGATATAGTTATCTATCTTTGTCTAGCTCATGTGGATTCTTTGGTCGAAACTCCTATAATAACATGTGTTGTGTCTGTATTTTATTGTCGGGAAAGTCTTCAGATTAATGTCGGGCTATTTGTATCCTTGCCTTTTACTTACAATAAGACAAAGATGAACAACTGGGTATTTTATGAATGAAATCAGCCATCTTTTTTTAAAATTGCATTCCCCTTACCGATGCCCCGTAGCTTCAGATTTCCTGGCCAGACAATACCAACTAATCCAGTACATTTTTGTTCAGTGTTGCCAGCTGCACGGAATTTTTTCTTTTTGTGGGGAGATTATACATATAAGAAATAGAAAACGGGTATTTCTGTTTTAAATAATCTCCGTTTTTTTTTTATAGGTTCTCTCAAAAGACGAAGTATCGACAGAAATATGCGAAAAATGCGTAAACAAACTCAGAGTCTCCTACCATTTCCTCGACATGTGCAAGAAAAGTACAAAAATCATTCAGGGATACTTGAACAAACTGACCGCACAAGAAAACAAGGCCGACTTTAAAAACTTCGATCTCAGAGTGGACTTGGAAGATCTCCCGCCACAATTCGATGAAACACTTGACCAAAACGAAATCCAGCCTGATAATAACACTATTATAAAACGCAAACAAAGAATCACGAAAGAACAAAGATGTTCGCTGTTGAAACAGTTACTTAACAGGCCTAAAAAGGACAGAGATAAATCGTACTTTACTCAAAACGATAACAGCGATTATGATAAAGGTGGCCTAAAAAACATCATAGATTTCACTAGGAATTATGAGTTTAATTTGGACAAAAATTGCAACATTGAATCAACTCCTTTGGACAAACTTACAGCATTCAGCACCAACTATTTTACAAGAGATTTTTCAGATTTTAAAAACCACGTTTTATATGTCATAGAGAATCGACAAGAATTTGAATATTATAGTGATGATGATTGTAGTTATGAAGATGAGCAGTTTGAACATGTCACAGTTGAACCTGATATTAAAATCAAAAGCGAAATAGACAGTAGTGAAGAAGACCAATGTCCTTTGGACTATTTGGAAACTTCTTTTGAAGTGAAACAAGAAAGATTATCTCCGGAACCAGTCAGTATTAATTCTTCGGTTAAACTATTGGATAGGCTAGTGTCTAGTTATCCTATTGGTGCCAGAAAAGTGTTTTCTCAGAATAATGTGCGATGTCGCACCAGGGAGCAACCTTATATTAATCCTATGCTAAAAAATCAGTTCCTTTACAGAAGTTTTAGGTGCGAAAGGTGTAACAGATATTTTAAGAGCCAAGGGTATCTTAAAGCACACAACTCAAAGGTACACTGATATGTGAATTTTCTCAGGGGTGTGAATTTTAAAATAACTCTTGAAGCTTTTGAGTATTAAATTCGCTATTGCCAAATAATAAACACACTCATAATTGTGCAAATTTATCTTGTGTTTGAAGCAATATAATATACAAAATGTTTCCTATATATCATTGATATTTTTCAATGAGAAAAATATTATGGCAATTCCAGTTGTGCAAATTGTCAAACCCTAGTTAATAAAAGATTTAAAAAATCTTTATGTATTTAAAATTAATGTTGTGTCAGTTTTTCAAAAAAAAAAACCAATGTGATTCTATTATGCGTCCTAAAGTAAGAAAGGACACTATAAAACCAAGCCAAGGTTTCTAAAATTCATAGGTTGTCTGGTAATGGGTAACTTGATGACGCATCTGGGGTGTCTTATAGAGATTTGCATTATTTTGAGCCATACAGATGACGTCATAAAAGTTATAAGGCAACCTCGTTTTAAAAAACCTTGAAACCAAGCATTATTATTAATAAAAGTGTCCTTTTTTTTAGTTCTGTTTTCAATTGCGCTTGTCCTAGATTCAAAATCTCAGGACAGCTCTTGTTCAATCCGAATTTACGATTACTATAGATAAGTACTTATTATACACGTTTTAAATGTTTGTACCTTATTCCGAATTAATTTTTAAGGGAAATATTATATTATTGTAAAATGATTGGTAACTTGTAAGCTCTGTTTTTTCTTTTTTTAATTTTGTTAAATATTTTAAATAAATTATTTGATTTTATTTGCGTTTGGTTTTCAAAAGCCTCTTTTGATGGTGGGTTGATTTATTTATAGTCTGTGACCAAAATTATTGGTAGTGAGTACGCCACTGGAATCATTTCTCACGACCTGCGCCACTGTGAGGAATGATTCGCTGCGGTAGTTTTGATCACAGACTACTATAGCTTTGTTCCAACACATTAACAAACCGTATAATATACCGTCACGATTCTGAGCAAAGCCAAAAATTTGGGCGCAGAACCAAAAATACGTATACAGAGTGATTTCGAAACCGGTCATGGGGTGGTTTTTGACGTGGAACAAACCTAATAGTTTTAACTAGTATCGATATTTACATGTCAGTCAGTTGCCAAAAATTTGCAAGGATATTTTTTCTACTCAGAGTTTCCGAACTACCCTTGTCTATTCTGATTCTGTTCCATTTGCACCCACTTGATCAAAATTACTCTGTCTGTATTCCCTCTGCATTATTTCTATTTGAATTCCTTCTATTGTTCGCGTTACTCTTCAAATTGCTTTAAGTTTTGTTTCATTTGCACTAACTCTGTTCTGTTTGCTCTGCTCTGATTGTGACTATTCGAACTACACTAGCTCTGTTCCAACCAACATAAGAACCGTTCTAGAACGGTAATTTCCAGTCGATCAAATTCATTTATCAAATAGGCTAAACGTTCAACTTTTTGAAAAATAGGTAGGCAACTGTGCAACTGGAAATTACTGGTTCTGGAAGGGTTCTCATGTCGGTTGTAGCAGAACTTCTATTATGCTACTAATCAATGAATTTATTCACTATAACAGCACTATTCGCCCAAGTTAAGAGCACTGGTTAAGGGAAAGTGAAGAATTTAAGTTCAAAGAAAACATAGTTGTCACGTACACTCACTACAAAAAAATGGAGGCGTTTAATAATTGTTATTTGTTAAGTAACAATTATTAAACGCCTCATTTTTTTGTAATGAGTGTACGTGACAACTATGTTTTCTATGAACTTAAATTCTTCACATTTTTTTAACCGGTGTTCTTAACGTGGGCGGACAGTAGGCTAATCAAGAGCCGGTTTCTCAATAGCGAGTGCCCTCCAGGTTAGTTTTAACTCCAGGGTAAGCGTGTTCAGTTGCTATGTTTACCCTGGAGTTATGTTCAACCCGGGAGTGACTCGCTATTGAGAAACCGGCCCTTAAAATTAATTTTGGGTTTTCAATAATTCTACTCTAACTGTTCCAAGTGCATTGACTCTTATTGACCTGTTCAACTGTTTGAGCTACTTTAACTGTTCTAATTCTGTTACATTTGCACTAGTTCGATTAAAATTACTCTAAGCATTCCATCTGCATTAATTCTATTTGAATTCCTCGTTCCTTCTATTGTTCGAGTTACTCTAAGGCCCGGTTGTACAATCCAGGTCCAAACAGAGGTTCAGTTGAACTCTACTGGTACTTGAACCTTCCGATTTGAAATGCATTGCTGTCAGAAACATGTCAAAGTGTACATTTTTTGACAGCAATGCATTTCAAATGGGAAGGTTCAAGTACCAGTAGAGTTTAACTAAACCTCTGTTTGAGTCTGGATTGTACAACTGGGCCTAAGTGTTCCAATTGCTTTAACTTTTGTTTCGTTTGCATCAACTCTGTTCTGTTTGTACTGCTCTGATTGTTACTATTCGAACTACTCCATTATGCCACTATTCAATGAATTTATTTACTATACAATAGGCTGATTTGAAAAATTAATTTTAGGTTTTCCGTAGTTCTATTCTGACTGGATGAATTTATTTACTACAACAATAGACTGATTTGAAAATTAATTTTGGGTTTTTATTAATCCTCCTCTGACTGTTCCATGTGCACTGACTCTTTTTGATTTGTTCAACTGTCCGAACTACTTTGATTGTTATAATTACTCTAGGTGTTCCAATTGCTTTAATTCCTGTTTCATCTGCACTAACTCTCTTCTGTTTGCACTTCTCTAATATGTAATCTGACTGTATATCAGTGAGGTCTTTTTAGCAATAGAGTAACTACTTGCATGTTCGACGAAATGAAGCTTACCCCAAATGGAGATTTTCAGTCAGAACTCGGAACCCTAAATCTAAGTGCACTCCGACTGTTCGGGTATAATTTATCAGCGTAAATAGAGTAAGTACATTCAATTCGTTTAAACGTAGTCGAGTGACTAGAGTTTACTCCAAAAGTTGCAACTCGGAAACCATGATTTTTATGGCGTTTCCGATTGGTATACCTAGTGCGGAATGCGGAACTAGTGCAATTTTTTTTATTTCTGTCTTTTTCTTCTACAGGTCGAATAAAAGGATGCAAATACACTCAGTGCGCACTGAAACCACCAATCGGAAACGCCATTAGAGTAAGGCCGGCTTCTCATGAGAGTAAACTTGACATAACTGGCGAAAATGCTGAATACATGAATTTTGGCACAACATTCACATGGAGCAGAGAATTTACGCCGCTAACGTGTCTCAAAATCATATTCTTTTTCTAAATTTTGAAATATTCCTTTGAATTTTGATTGTACAAATTTGTATTTGTTTTGGCTTTATTTCCAAATAGTTACAAATATGGACAGTAAATTACAAAAATCAAGAAAACGAAACTTTTGCAACCTTAACCTCTAAAAACGCTGAATTTCTACGCGAAAAGTTGAACTTTGCTCAACTTTTGGCATATGTGCGGCAGAGTGTCAGCGTATCAAATATAGCGGGATTTCGGCCAATCAGAATTCTGCATTCAGGTACGCTGTCACGCCATTAATATCAAATTACGCTCATGAGAAGCCGCTCTAACTGATAACCTCACCTGACAAATAATGGTAATAAAAAAAAAGGTTTATTCGCGACCTCTAACTTCTGCTCTGTTAGTTATACTGTACTGCTCTGCAGTAGCTGCACTGCACATTCTGCTCTTCACTGTCTGCATTTTCTTTTCGTCAAAATGGGGCACAGAGTTTCACCGCTGATATCAGAATTCTCAAGCTAGGTTCAACTTGCTCACTCAACTATGGATCTCAGTACACTATAGGCACTCCGTTTGTTCAGATATGACTTTTTAGAGTAGAGTTAGTGTTCGGCTGAACGCCGTCAAATGGAATTTACTCCAAAAGTTGCAATGATTATTTACTTTAATAGAGTATCTAAAAAAAGGCTACGTTCACCAGAATCAATCAACATTGTAAACTGTCTACAAATACGAACAGAATACGTTGGGTAAACTCTTGATTCTGCTGAACGATTCATCTTTTCAATGATAAAACGTCACCTTCTGAATGTCATGCCACCACAAGGTGGGTTCGGCTTGCTCACTCCGAGTGACTCCATTCGCACTCCAGCCGTTCGGGTATTGCTTTTTATCGTATTGGGTTGACTCCATTATCTCTGTTCTTACTCCACTCCAACTCCGCGCTGAATAGCCGAAACCAGCTACAGTTGAATTCAGAACGGGACTTTAGTCTGGTGTTCGTGTAGTGCAGGGTTATATCACATGATGAAGGTTTAATCGGCGGTGTAACACCGAATACACCATCATTTTGTACCGAGTAAACGGTGTCTCACCATCTTTACACCATTCGGGCGTGATTCGGACACCAACTTATTTCCAAACGCAAATTAGGTGTACACCAAACTTACTCCTACCAATCAACGAACGACACAGTGTCAATAGTGTGAAAAGTGTCGATACTTTGTATCATTCCGAACTCACCTCACACAAAACACAAATTAAGTGTTCAAAATTATAAACCCTCCTGAAACCATCGCAAAGAGTTTATCAACGTTTGTGCCCTGGTAAACAAGGCCAAAGTTTTTAGTAATTAATTTTAGTTTTTTAGTTTTTAATTCTTCTCTGGCTGTTCCAAGTGCACTGACTCTTTTTGATTTGTTCAACTAATTGAACTACTTTAACTGTTCTAATTCCATTCCATTTGCACTAACTCGATTTAAATTACTCTAAGCATTCTATTTGTATTGATTCTATTTTAATTCCTTCTATTGTTCGAATTACTTTGAGTGTTCCAATTGATGTAATATCTGTTCCATCTGCACTGACTCTGTTCTGTTTGCACTGCTTTAATTTTAACTGTTCGAACTACTCTAAAATATGCTACTAAACAATGAATTAATACATTATAACAATAGGCTGATTTGGAAATTTATTTTGGTTTTTTATCAATTTCACTGTGATTGTTCCAAGTGCACTGACTCTTTTTGATCTGTTGAATTGTCCGAACTACTTTGGCTGTTTTAGTTCTGTTCTATTTACGTTAGTTCGATTTAAAGTACTCTAAGTATTCCATCTGCATCAATTCTGACTGTTCGAGTAAGATCTTTTTAGCAATAGAGTAACTACTTACACGTTCGACGAAATGAAGCTTACTCCAAAAGAAGATTTTCACTCAAGACTCTGGACCCTTAATCTAAGTGCACTCCGAGTGCTCGAGTATGACTTTTTAGTGAAAATAGAGTAACTGCATTTGGATAAACGTAGTCGAGCGAATGGAGCTTACTCCAAAAGATTTCTAGAGTAAGTAGAGTACCTGACCTGACAAATGATGTTATAGTAAAAAAAAAATTGGTTTAGGGAGGATTTTCATGCATCCGTCTCAACATTCTATTCTGACATATTTATATACGATTATGTCAGAATAGAATGTTAAACGGACATATTTCGACGGAAAAACGGATGCATGAAAATCCTCCCTTATTCGCGACCTCTAGCTTCTGCTCTGTTATTAGTTATACTGTACTGCTCTGCAATAGCTGCACTGCACATTCTGCTCTTCACTGTCTGCATTTTGTTTTTGTCAAAACGGGGCACAGAGTTTTACTGCTGATATCTGAATTTCTTAAGCTAGGTTCAACTTGCTCACTCAGTACTATGGATCTCAGTACACTATAGGCACTCCGTATGTTCGGGTGTGACTTTTTAGAATAGAGTAACTACGTTTGGCTAAACGCTGTCAAATGGAACTTATTCCAAAAGTTGCACTGATTATTTACTTTAATAGAGTAAAGTTGTCATACACCATATAAACACGTTGAATATTGGTCGACTCAGGACCGATTGAATTTATCTTTTGATTTAGCAACGCCATTAGTTGTATTCCTTTCAAGAGTTTGAAACACTCGAGCTACTCACTCCAGTGTTTAGTAGCCCCCGATTTGCAGGGAACAGATGCGGAGTGCAATAAACACTTTTCGAAAGGAAAGAGCGCGTGAAGCCCCGGAGCTGTTCCGGAGCTCCTCCTAGGTGTGAAAGGAATACAACTATTGTGAAATATACAAGGTGATCCATCAAGTGCGCCTCGGCTTAAATCCTTATTTGGGTTGAATGCAGCGTTGCCAAGTTACGATTCTTTCAAAATAAAAATAGATCAAAAAATACTTTTTTTTAAATTGTCATATCTCAGCCAGTGTTTTTTTATTTCCCTTACAAATATACATGTAGTCTAATGTTAGCCTAGTTTCTCCTAAACTACCTTAATTTTTTCGATTCAAGTATACAGAGTGTGCGTTTTAACTTTAACTGATTGGTTGAATATGTCAATTTCAAGTTCTATTTTTTATATTATGTACCTATACAGGGTGTCCGTTTTAACTGATACCAGTATTGCTATCTCTCAAGCCTCCACCATGCCAAAGCACCCGTGATGACGTAGACAGCGTGTCATTTTTCGTTTTGACGTAGGGTATTTGCATCACAAGTTATGATTCGGCTGGCTTTTACATTATGCATACTTGGTTGTAGTATAAATGCTAAAAGAACCCTTTTTTCAGATCTCGTTTGCATCTTCTTCTTTTCCTATTATATGTTTATCAAAATTAAATATTTTCCATCATAAAATATGTATATTCTAAACTACGACCACTGGCGCAAACAGCTGACGACACCGATGATGACTTCAGCAACAGTGCATGCATAAACATATGACATGAGTCCAAAAATCGAGGCCGATAAGCAATCCTGTGGTAGTGTAACTGATATCCTTGACTCATATTTTTGCCGCTCCCACCGCCATATTGGAAAATGGCGGTTAAAACAGTTTTTTGACAATATCTCTATTTACGATGAGGATATTTATAAAAACAAATACATACAGGGTGTCTGTTTTAAGTGATACCACTATTGCTATTTACGGAACGGTAAGAGGTACGAAGTCGGTAAAAATTGTCAAAAGTGGCAGATATTAGTATTTATTTATTGAAGGTAAATTGATACAGTGTTGCCAAATTTTTGTTCGTTCCTAGATATGACATAAGGGAAAATGTAAAAAATACTATCCAGTGTTGAATAAAAAAGTTTCAAGATTTCTTCTTTTCTACAAAATAGCTTATTGTTATCTTTACACGGCTTTTAGTTGTGTTGACATTTTCCCTTACCTCTCGGAAACGAGCAAATTTGGCAACCCTGTGAACTTACCTCCAATGGACACTAAAAACTTGCCACTTTTGTCTAATTTAATCGACCTCGTACCTCTTACCGTTTCGTAAATAACAATAGTGGTATCATTTGAAACAGGCACCCTGTATATATTCGTTTTTATAAATATTCTCATCGTAATGTCAAATACGGTTTTCAAGCGCCATTTTTTCAATATGGCGGCGTTATGAGGCGAGGATATTGCTCATTGGCCTCGATTATTGGAATTAGGGTTATAAGGTGATGCACCGGTGCCGACGTCTTCAACGATGTTGTCAGCTGTTTGCGCCAGCGGTCGTTTAAAATATATTTATGATGAAAACTGCAAACGAGATCTATAAAAGCGTTGTTCTAAAATCTTGAATAATATACTAAAACAAAGTATACATAATGCCAGGCCGGGGATTCTAAAATCACGATTCGACATACGACTCGACAACGAGACGATTTTTTCGACGATTCTAGGTTAGAAATTTCATTGGAATTATACCTTTCGAGACGACAAGGCCGGTATCGTTATCGAGTCGTGTGTCGAATCGTGATTTTAGAATCTCGGCCCTGGACCATCGGAATAATAGCTTGTGGTGCAAACACCCTACGCGAAGGCGAGAAACGACATGCTGTTTACGTCATCATTGGTACTTTATTGGCGTGTTGGCGCCTTGATATTTGAACTACACAGGCCATATGAGGATAGGCTATCCCTGGCTATCCGAGTATCCTGTTTAGTGTGTAAGATCAGTGGTAATTGGTGTGGTACCAAACCTTGCGTGCGGTATTTCGCTCAAAGAGCAGAGCGTGCTGAGCGGAGCCGTAATCACGTGACCAGCGAGCAAACAGAGCAGTTGAACGCTGTATCAGAGTGCCAGAAATTTTAATAAACGAACGGTAAACTCAAGCTCGGAGAACTTAGATCCAAATACCAAACGCACAGAAAGTAGAAATTCAGAAAGACTGGAAAGAGCACGTCAGAATCTACAAAATCATCAACTTTAACTACTTTCCATTTAAAACTACCAAATGACTGTATTTTTATCGTTTTGAAATTCAATTCATCCTTATACTTGCATGGTTAATGGAAAACTGATGACGTCATCTGGGGTATGCCTAATGGAGATTGGCATTATGTAAGGGCACCCCAGATGACGTCATACAAGTTATCAGGTAGCCTACCTCATTCAAACAATCTTGATCCAACAATAAGAATAAATTTGTATTATAGATCCCATAATTAAGGGCTTCATTTGCCATATAAAAACCTACAAAATCCCCTTTTCAAAACAAAAAATAGTAAGATTTTTTTGGAACACCCTGTATAATTACATGAAAAATGTTTTGGATCGCAGAGATGAAAATGATGTTAAAAAATTTATACAGAACATCTTCCAAATTCAACGGTTCGGCTAGTATTGACCGATGCACTCTTGGTGGACCATCCTGTATATTGTGATGGATTTTCGTCACACGTCTCACGGCCTTGGAAGTTTATTCCCAGCCCGCGTAATGAAGTTTCACTTCGAACAAGTACCCTGCGTTTTTATTCTCATCAAATTTTACCGATGGATCCACCATTCTATGGCCGTCATTATTGTCATTTTCCATTCACTAAACAAAGATAGCTAACTCATCGGTGAAGTCACCGATGAGAATAAAAACGAGGGGTCACTTACGACCACTGGGCCGAGTTCAGAAATAACGCACAGAGTGCGAGTGCGATTTTATGGGTGTGCCTGAATTGACAATTGGGCATTGGGCCCATAGCACCGTCTAGCATTTTTGAACAGCTAGGGCGTCGCACCGGTGTCACACTCACACTGGGTGTGTCATTCCTGAACTCGCCCCTGATCTCTTACAACCCGCATTTTCTGCTCTGCCTTAGTTACACTGTACTGCACTTTCTACTCGTTACTACGCAGTTTTGCTGTTCAACATTTTTTTGCTCCAAGTTCATTAGAGTCACTCCATTCAAACGATAGACGTTCTACTTATCGAAAACGCAAACGCTTACATTGCTCTGTCAAAAGTTTGAAACGTCTCTCCCGTTGTTTTGACAGTTCGTTTTTCGTGGAGACGCGTGGAGGTGCAAGTGTGACGTGTCAAAAATTTCTTGTACTCCTCTGCCAACCCAAACCTAAATTCATTTGGGTTTTGCTGACTGAACACTGACTTTAACATTTTTTGTGAATTATTCTTTAGTGGTGCTACACTTATTTAGCCTTATAGAACAAAATGGTAAGTAAATGTTTAGGTATTCTATTAGGTTTTTTAGAGAAAAAGTATTTTTATTTAGAAAAGTGTTTTCACTACTTTCTCTAGTGAGACACCAACTCAAGCTGTTCAAAAGTAGATAACTTAAATATTAGCTAATTTTGCCTGTAAACATTGTTCTTAGACTCCAGAGTGAGTTCAGTTTTGAAAACCCTAGCAAAGATTGTCCTAACCTAACAGATGGATTTTTCCCTTTTCCAGATGTTTGTCCTTATAACTTTGAAAAAAAATCAAATTTCTATAGACTTTCAAGTTAAGTGTCTTTTACATTGTTTTATCAAAAGATAATAGAGTGACCAATTTTTTTTTGTTCTAGCCTGCTCCAGCAAGTTCCACTAGTGTAGGTGCCGGTAGCAGATCGCCTGCAAAAGGTGGAGCACCAAGAGCCAGTACCGGTGGTACTGTCAGACAAAGAAAAACCACCACAACAACGACAACAGCTAAAAGAAATACTGGAGCTGGTACTGGTGGTATGTGGAGGTTCTATACTGACGATTCACCTGGCATTAAAGTGTAAGAATTTAAATTTAACTATTTTGTGAAGCAAAATATTGATAATATATTTTTTGCAGTGGTCCAGTTCCAGTTTTGGTAATGTCTCTTCTATTCATCGCTTCCGTATTTATGCTCCACATCTGGGGTAAATACACCAGGTCTTGAAAACTCTTATTAGCCCTCTTAAGTTTTTCATTCCTTAAATATAGTTTAATATATTTAAATTATAATTGCATTTGTTTCATTCATTTTACATTATTATTTTTTTTTGTAATTGTTGCATAGGTTAAATAAAATTTAATAAATTATTATTATAAATTTTTTCTAAAAGATTTTGTTTGTGTTTTATATCCTATTTAAAGGTTGGCAACTGTAAAAAGAGTGTTTCAGTCTGAGGTGTAGGGGGAGGAAAAAACGATAAGGAAATATACAAGTGCAATGGAGTAGAGCGTGATAGAAATATTGGTTTGTATATTTGTAGCTGTTCAACTCCCACTGGTCGCTTTATAGCTTAATAAACTATGAAGTTTCGCCCACTCACCTATATAGCAACATTTTTAAGCATCTTTCTCTCTTCTTGACGGTTTAACTGAATATTAAAATTTCTCACTCGGGAAAACACAGTTTAATGGCCGTTTCTACCAACTCTTTTAGGGAAGCCCTAACAATAGGTATTCCTTAAACTGACAGTTTTCCATGGAGAAATGTCAGCTGCCGGATTCTATTTTACGAGTTGAGTTGAAATTCGTATCAAATTGTCAAAATAGCGATTCTATTTTTCTATACGTATTACACGGTATGTCCGGAGCTGTCGTATTCGATATCGAGACAATTCGACTCGACTCGTAAAATAGAATTTGGGGGCAGTTTAGGGAATACTTTTAAGGCTTCCGTAAAATAGTTGGTGGAAACGGCCATTAATTAACTTCTTCATAATTTGAAAATGAAAACGGTTGGCAACATTCATTGACACTTGTCTTTTTCCAAGATGAAGGGGGGAGTTTTGTACAATTTTCCTTATTGCACCTCAGAAAAATTTTGCATTTTTGACCAATTTTGAATTGAATTATTGAACCCTTAAGGTGTGTTCACATTCTGATAAATTGTCATGTATGCAATCTAATAATCCCATTGGTCAGCCACTTATCTGCCGACCAATAGAATTATAGACAGTAAATTATCTTGCAGATAGTTACCAGCAAGTGAATGAACGGGACCTGAAACTTGAAACTCATGAGTATTAAAAAAAATATTAATATCAATTATTTATTTCAAATAAATACATACATTTCCTTAACTATAAATTGCTAAAAAATAAAAACCATAGCAAATACATATATTTACATTAATAAAAATTATCAAAAACCTAAATAAAGATTCTTTTGCCCTTATATTTTTTTTTTACCGTGTAATGTAAGTGCTTGCCCGATTGTCACGGACTGGACAATAAATAAAATTGTATCAAATACATATTCTACTACAGCTGCATACAGAGTGTACCAAAGAAAAATTATGTATTTCTTTGTACCCTCAGTATACCGGGTGACAATGAAACTACTACACACGGAAACATTTCTTAACGGCTTGAGATAGAAATATGCAACCCGGTTTGTTGATAGGGTTGAAAATTGTGAAAAATTTTAACATAAAAACAATTGAATGTCTTTTACGGTTTCACCGGAAATGCCATTAACTTTGTTATTTTAAATGGGACACCCTGTATATTTTATTTTTTTGGACTCTCTGTATAATTCTAAATAACTTTTGTCTTACATGCCCTATGTCAAAAATTGATACTTTTTGAAATAGAGTGGCTCAAAAATATGTCGTAATCCCTATTTGTTTGTATATTACATAAAAACTGCCATTTCCGGTAAAACCGGAAAAGACATTCAATTGTTTTTATATTAAAATTTTTCACAATTTTCAAACCGAGTTGCATATTTCTATCTTGAGCCGTTAAGAAATGCCGCCATGGGTAGTAGTTTCATTGTCACCTGGTATAAGTGAACTTATATAATATATAGAAATATTTCTATATAATAATAAACCGCCTATTAGCTACAGTCTTCACAAAAAGTTTAAAAATAATAATAATAATAATAATAAATTCAACAACACATAACAATTTTTTTGAATCGACAATATTTCCATTCAAATCCATTTTTTTTACAGATTAAAAAGGACATTTTTGTACATTTTATGCTAAAAGCTTCTACATTTTAATGAAAATAAATATAAAAATCCTTGTATATAAGTTGTTTCCAAACCTAATATAAGGCCTACATGTTTTAGGCTTAAAAAATTGCTTTTGACAAAAAAAAGTTAGGGTAGTATTGTGCCAAAAAAATCTTCTCAGAAGTTGTATTGCGCGTTTCTCCGTTCTCGACTCAACAAAACCAATACCGTCTCTGTTCTCAAGAAGCGTACATTCGTCTCAAATCACACTGGTACTTGTCTTGGATGTCTTTCCGTTTCAATTTGAAAGCAGCTGTGACCAGGCCCATGTCCGGCGACCATACTTCCGCTACTAGTTTGACTGCGTGAGGAATTTCGAATTTTTCTAGTTTACCTGTAAAGAAAAACAATATTGGTTGATGGTAATCAATCAACGAAATTCTTACCTCTTTTTCCGTGTTCAGCCAATTCATTCATCACAGCCTTTTCCATTTCGGGATCTTCACATAGTTCCTCGAATGTTTTTTCACCCAAACCAATTTTGACGGCTAATTCCATCAAAATTGGCTGACTGGGTACCACCAGAGCGACACAGTATTGTTTGCTTGACTCGCCGTAAACGCAAATATTGTCCACCAGAGGGCAGGTTTTCAGTTGCGATTCGACTTTACCCAATGATACATATTCGCCCGCTTGAAGTTTGACCAAATCTTTTTTACGATCTATAAGAATAATAATTGTTTGGTTTGAAATATATTTAAGAGAATAGATTTACCAATGATTGTGACTACGCCATCATCATGTACTTCACCAACGTCTCCTGTTTTGAACCATCTTTTACCATCGGCTTCGAAAAAGTCCTCATCAGTCTTGTCAGGCATTTTGTAGTAACTAAAAACAACATATGTAATTAATAAATGGTTGTCAGTTTTTGAGTAATAATTATTGTGACTCACCCTGCACTAACATTTTCACCTCCAACCAAAATTTCGCCTCTGGGATACGGTTTATCGGTCACCCTGTAATTGCCGTCTTCCCAATTGATGATTTTGATTTCGCAAATGGTGCAAGGACCGCCCACTCTGCCATAAGATTTATCATTGACTATAAAAAAAAATATGTAAAATTTATTTTAACATTTTTGGTTTAATTTCTTACAATCTTGTACGCAAGCGCAGGAAGTTGTCTCAGTCAAGCCGTATCCTTGCAAAATAGTGACGCAAAGGCAGTTGTTGATTTGTTCGTGGGTTTCCGGCGATAAGGGGGCGCCACCGGAGATGACCAATCGGATGTTGCCGCCCATCAATTGACGGACTGGACCAAAGATTAATCTGGAAAAAGTGTTAAGTAGCATTAAAGTCTCTACTACTACTACTACTACTACTGTACTATAGTGTTTTTGCCTCTTTTTTTAAAAAATAGGTTTTTTTATGTCTGAAATTTCGAACAAACATATAGTTCGTTGCACAGCACGCAGGTTTTTACTTACGTCATCGATGACGTCATAACTTAGATAAAAAGTTATGTCATAGATTAATTCATGGAGCATCTTCGGAATTATTGTTTTGTAATACATTTTTTAACTTAGAAGAGAATTTATTCAGTTATCCGAAAATATATAAACAAATTACAAAATTTCTCCTAATAGGCGGAGAGCTGGCTACATAAAAAGTACCCGCATCAGGTACATGGCTAATTTATATTGGAAATAATAGTATCAGTGTAGGCGAATATAAATATGAATGTCTGCCATTGCAAAACTGGGGCGCGAAGAGGGGGTACGTAGTGAATGGGGTGAATTTTGGGTGGGAAAAAATTCATAAGGTACAGGGATTCTATTTACGGAAAAAGTTTGGTTTCATATTTGAGAAAGTGTAAAAAAATTGGCAGACATTTTGCGAGGGGTTAACTCGCCGGCAGACCGCGCTAAAGAATGCAAAAATTAATTTAAAAAAAAATCAAAAGGTACACGAATTCTAATTATTGTATTTTAAAGTTTAAACATTCAAAGAGTCATTTACAAAATTGCAGACAAAAAAATGAGGGCTAAGGCCGTGGCAGACGACGTTAAAAAGTGCGCTGCACATCAACATTTTTAATCACATTCTTGATATTTAACTGCAGAAGAATTATTATCGATATTTATGAAATATATCAATGAAACTCATTATTTTATAACTTTTATTTTTAGGGAATTTTAAAAACAATTTGATTTTTTTTTTTTCAATGTTAATATTATGGTTGTTTATAAGTATATCAATTTATTTTAAACGATTAATTAACATTAGTCAGTATTTGGTTTCTTCACTTGTGAAAAGTGAAGGTAAATGCTCACAAAATTTTGAAAGTGAAATTAGCCAAATAACTTGTCGCAGGTATAAGGTCCCAGATTTGTATAGGTATATTTGAGAGCGGAATATAATATAAATGTTGATGGGGGGGAACAGATATTTTCGTGTATAATAGAGCAAGCGACACAGCATAAGGTGATGCCGCACAAGGTCACTGAGAGCAGTGTTACCAGATCTCCTGTTTTAACAGGAGAACTCCTGTTTTCACTCTCAACCTCCTGTTCTACTGTTTTCACCATGAAATTTACTGTTTTCAGCGTCAATGTCTATTTTTCTGCTTTTTTCTATGAAATCTTCAGTTGGTTTCAGTAATTTTCCCTATTACATTGCGCATGAAAGAAAAGAATAACGATATACTCCAGCTGTACGCCATTTTTTCATTTGTTGTTCTGATTGGATCGGCTTGGTTCGCCATGACTCTAATCAGTCAAGACATTAGAGAGTTATTGGACGTGCAATAAGGACAAGCAGTATTCAGTGGCGTAGCCAGCCCTGCGGGGCGGGTGGGGCAAGCATATAAGGGGGCGCATAATTATCAAAAATACGGTATTATTAAATAAAAAAAATTAAAATTTATAACTATCAAATGAATAGGATAATTTTACATAATTCTATATTGTTTGTATGCTCTCGTAATACAGGGTGGCCAATTGAAAACGAAACAAAGGTGATTTCGGGCTCCCCAAGACATTTAAGAAAAAACCCTCGTACCCGTCAATTTTTGATTTAAGGGGGAACCATTTTTTTGGTGTTTTCAGCCCCTGGGGGGCAAAGCCCTAGCGGGGGTGACAAGGGCCCCCAAAATTTTAAATGGAATGAGGGGTCGAGTGATACCTTATTTTGAACCTATTCTTATGTAGATTATAACCCCCGAGTCTCACATCGCTACTATCTACCTAGCCATTACAGGGGCTAATTAAAGTTACAAAAACATGTTGGAATATTTTTATTTAAAAAAATGCTTTAAAAACAAAATCAATCAAGTAAATGCTGAAAATGACCTCAGAAGAAAAAATCTAACGGGCTTAAATCTTGAGAACGCGGGGGCCACTCAATATTGACGAGCCACTGCAGCATAATGGGATGACGCACAATCTTGTTGGAATATTAGTGTATGCATCTGTTATCATTCTCTAGTATCTCCACCAATTCTGGATGAATCGCAACTCCTAACCACTCTAGGTACATTTCTCCTGTTAAATTTATAGGTAAAAAAGGGGCCTACTTACGGTTATTAAAAATGCTAGCCCAAACACTCAAATAATCTACATCTCCATAATGCCCTAGGACGTTATTTCGTACGTATTATACCTGAAAATATGAGTATGTATACCTAGAAATATTGTATTAAATAAATATTGTATTGAGTATAAAAAAATTGTATTAAATAATGGAGTATAATTAAATGGTATTTTGGTTGATGTGCTACTAACCCCCTTTTCCTTTTTTTTTCCTCCTTCCTCACCATTGAAAAACTCATAACCCAATTATTTTTTTTCAATAAATGGAGCAGCAGTTTGTATATTTCTCTGATGAATGCTCCTTTTTTCTTGAACGGTACGGTGAATCGTCTCAACTGCCGCTATTGGGCTAATTCAAATCCCAGAAAACATATTTCGTGATGTACATACGCAACATCCCGAGAAATTGAGTGTTTAGGCTAGCATTTTTGGTAACCGTATAATAGACCCCTTCATTACCTATAAATTTAACAGGAGCAATGTACCTAGAGTGATAAGAAGATGCGATTCATCCAGAATTGGTGAAGATACTAGAGAATGATAACGGATACATGGAAAACCGTCTAATATTCCAACAAAATGGTGCGCCACCCCGCTATGCTGCAGTGATTCGTCAATATTTGGACCAAAGGTTTCCAGGACAATGGATTCGAAGGAGAGGCCCCCGCGTTCTCCAGATTTAAGCCCGTTAGATTTTTTCTTCTGAGGTCATTTTCAGCATTTACTTGATTGATTTTGTTTTTAAAGCATTTTTTTAAATAAAAATATTCTAACATGTTTTTGTAACTTTAATTAGCCCCTGTAATGGCTAGGTAGATAGTAGTAGCGATGTAAGACTCGGGGGTTATAATCTACATAAAAATAGCTTCAAAATAAGGTATCACTCGACCCCTCATTCCATTTAAAATTTTGGGGGCCCTTGCCACCCCCGCTAGGGCTTTGCCCCCTAGGGGATGAAACCACCAGAAAAATGGTTCCCCCTTAAATCAAAAATCGACGGGTACGAGGGTTTTTTCTTAAATGTCTTGGGGAGCCCAAAATCACCTCTGTATCGTTTTCAATTGGCCACCCTGTATTTGCTAATTGTGGGAAAATACCAAAGAAGAAAATTTTTCTCGGGTGCCACGCCCAAAAAAGTTTATTTTGATCTCTCTGAGACTCGTTTCAATTTTTTAAAGTATTGTGCAGAGTCAAACATGGGCTCCTGTAAATCTTGAATTTGACAAGTTTAAAGTTCGCATTTTTTAATAAATTGGGTATCATTGTGTTTGTGACAGTGTAAACTTTTTGTTTGTGAGGGTTTCATGAGTGGAAATCGAATCATTTCCTGGTAAATTCGATAAACAGTTGAAAAATTCTATACCATCAAAATAAAATAACAAAAATAACAATAGACTTTTATCTCCAGGTACCTATTTTTTGCTAATGGGCTTATCTCAACCTGCTCTTAACATAAACAAAACTACTAAACTTGAAATGCACTGTAGTCCGAGTGCACATGAATTTTTTGTTAATTTTTAAAGATTCAACTCGAAAATGTCGTCATTTAAATGTTGCAAAAATAAAGAATCAACTGTATTGTTTTGTGTCGTATGTAAAAAAGTATTTCATAGAAGCTGTTGGACAAGGTTAAACAAACAATATACCATTGTAAGGGACAGTTTAGCAATATGTTCCCGAAACTGTATGGATGCAGCAGCTGAGGATGAGCCAGACACTTTTGACATATTGAAATCTGTTATTGAAGACTTGAAAACTGAAATAATAGACAAGGATAACTATATAGCACGAGTAAAACGAAGTTCAGTGTCATTAATGGAGGACGCTTCAAGAAGCGAAGAGAGTTTTTTAAAAGAGATTACAGAGAAAGATAAAAAAATTGATGAACTTAAAAATGGAATTGAACAACTAAAAATAAAAATAAAAGCACAAAAAAAACAAACGGACGAAGAGATTAACCTAAAACCACTTATTGAGGAATTAAAAGAAAAAAACAAAAATCTTATTAATCAGATAAATGACAATGAAAGATTTATTATAAAACTGAAAGGAGACTTATCAGATCTTTTAATTGTCAAGAATCAGATGAAGGACGCATTAGTAATACTTGAGGCAGATAATAGAATTTATGCGGAGAATGAAACAAAGTTGAAGAATGAATTGGGAAAGAAGAAAGAAGATCTACACAAGGACAGCAAGAATGAGAAAATGGAGAAGCAGAAGCAGCTAGAAAATAATGAGGATTTGAGTACAGAAAGAAGTGGAAAAATGAAAAATAGGGGAAGGTTACTTATTTTATGTGACGAATATGGTCGCCATCTGGACAGATCCTTTGGGGTAAAATGCAATAAATTGGTATGTCAAACAATAATTAAGCCAGGCGCATCTTTTGAAATGGTTACAAAAGACATTGTTGAATTAGTAAAAGATTTTACTTTGGATGACTATGTTTTGATAATGGCTGGTTCTAATGATGTTGATAGATCGCAATTTCCATCTTTTAGAGATATAAATAGAAAACTTAAATACTGCACTCACACTAACGTTGTTTTAACTTCAATTCCTTACATGAATTATAGAAAGAATGGCCTTGATGAAAGGGTGCAAATGTTTAATAAAAAGCTTTATGAATATGCAGATCGATTGAACTTTTATAGTGAGGGAAAAACAATGTTTTGTGATCTCAATGATTGGAATGGTTTCAGAAAAAGTAAGGTGGAAATTGCAAATCTTATAAGC